CGCAACCCGTCGCCGCCAGCACCGCGACGCGCGAGCGTGCGTCCTCACCCGCGGTCCCGAACGCGTTCAACACCGCTGCAGTGCCCGCCCCGAGAACGCAACCCGTCGCCGCCAGCACCGCGACGCGCGAGCGTGCGTCCTCACCCGCGGTCCCGAACGCGTTCAACACCGCTGCAGTGCCCGCCCCGAGAACGCAACCCGTCGCCGCCAGCACCGCGACGCGCGAGCGTGCGTCCTCACCCGCGGTCCCGAACGCGTTCAACACCGCTGCAGTGCCCGCCCCGAGAACGCAACCCGTCGCCGCCAGCACCGCGACGCGCGAGCGTGCGTCCTCACCCGCGGTCCCGAACGCGTTCAACACTCAAGACCGAGCAACATCTCCTATATTGCGAACTCTCATTCTTAAACGCGATAAAGAATAATTTTATACCTAACTTTTCTCAAATAATTTTACTTTTTTTATGTATTTTTAGTTTATCTCCCTTGTTGTGCGGGAAGATGTTCGGTTTACACCGAACACATTATGCACGCGTAGGCAATTTACTTTAAAGTTTTTATTTAAGTCAGTACATGTACGGACGCCAACATTGTCTCGTGTGTGCTCACATACATAACATTTATAAACATATAACATTTATAAACATTGTAACAATAATATTATAACAATATAATAAACATTTTGTGCATAAACAGTATTTTAAGTAACATTTACATCAAAAGGTGTTGAATACCACAACAACTAGTGATGGGCACAACATAACACTGAGTTCGTTACCATTCCTCCAAAATGAACCGCCGCGTTATTTTTAAGATTATTTTCGATTTAAATTGGCGGAATCATTTAAAATTTATATTTTAGTAATTTAAGTGGAAAGCAAAAAAGGTAATATTAATATAATAAAATTGTTTTATTTATTCTTTGTTACAAAGTTACAATCTGTATTTCTATGCAATAAAGTACATTGAATTGAATGTGCGTACAGAATATGAATCAGACTCCGATTCGCTTGAGGAGGTGGTGTCTTCATCATCATCTTCGCCTACATGTATAATTATATTATTATCAATAACAGAATCAATTCTGATATCTCGGTCAAAATGTTCCACAATCAGGTTTTTAGTCTTCTCAACAACCTTTGCCCAGTCATCTCTTGTGACTTCTCCGCAGGCTTCTTTTAATAGGGTCATCATCATTTTCGTGCTGAATGGCGGGGAAGTATTGTGGCGGGCGGCGTAACCTTTTATTTGAGCCCAGATAAGCGCAATCGCGTTATATTGGCAATGATACGGTGGAATTCTTAGAACGCGATGACCGTACTCCAGAGCCAGTTAATCGATTTCGTATTGCACATTTGCCGCTTTATTTTCTTTAACTAATTTAATTAGCTCTGGTTTTAGCATCTGCATATTTGCGTCAAAGCCTTTTGCTTGTAACCGAGCCACCATTTCTTCGTTTTTGTTAACTTGGGTAGGTGGTTTCTGTATTTGAACCGAGTGATAGGAGGCATTATCCATGAATATTACAGAAGGCTCTGGTAGGCTGGGCAAAAGCACGTTCTGGAACCACTCTTTAAATGTAGTGGCATTCATTTCCTCGTGGTAGTCATTTGTGGTTTTGATTGAAATGCCAGTAACGCGTTCTCCACAAAGCCGTATTTTGCAGAACCTGCGTGGCATATTATCAGACGGGCCCCCTTACCCATTGGTACTTTCGACGTCGACGCTTGTGTATCATCCATCCAAGAACGGGAAACCGTGTGATTGGCGTTTAGCCATGTCTCGTCAATGAAATTATCCCAGTTATCAATATTTTTTGCTTCTCTCAAAAAACTTATCCGTTTTAAAATTATGTCGTATCGTTCTAATAAAATTTTTCTTTTGTCTTTTTTTATACGAAAAACCAATATCTTTTAAGATTCTGGTTAAAGTAGTTTTACCCCCGCTAAACAGTCCAGCTTCTCTTAACGATGCCAAAAGCTTCTTCCTGTTGAGATATTCATTTCTGGAATAGTAACCATATATATGATTTCTGATTGCATCGGCGTCAAAGGTGTCAATATCTGTCATGGGTTTAGTTTTCTTCTTCGGAGTACGTAAAATATTATCTTCCGTGCCAGTAGAGCCGAACTTTTCTTTATTAATATTTGTTATCGTTCGTTTGCTAACTCCAAGCGCCTGAGAGACGCGTTCTTGTACTTGTTCGACAGGTAACAGGGGTCCGCCATTTTGCCGCTCCCGCTCAAAGTAATCTTGCAGCTTGATGATTAACTCACGGGCTCCACTTTTCAATGTTTGTCCACGTTTAGGCATTATTATGCACCAAAAGTAAAAAGAACGCAATACAAAATACAATCGAAATCCGATTTAGCGCCGATGCCAGTTTGAAAAGCAGAAACAGTCCATTAATCGAAAGCCGGGTAATCAAATAAAAACAGATCGAAAACACTTGAAGAAAGTGGTCTATGCGCACGAAACGACAACAGACGACTGTTTTAGCGTCACAAAATGGCGGCCCATAACGCCATTTGGGGTCACCATTTTCAACCTAAATATAAAAATCCTACTTTCTTTCGCGCGTTCGGTTTGGTCGTAGTTTTATTTTTATATTTAATAAAAGTTATCTTATAGTCCATTATTTTCAAATTCTTAAAAAGAAAAACAAAACGTATTATTTTATAAAGTATAACTGTATAAGAACAGATTACGATATTGTTATTGCCTGTTATTGTTAGCACAGCACTACAAATATAAAGCGCTGACATAACCTTGTAATAGCGCAGTATAGGTTTAGAAAATATTGTTTACCAAGTTATTTGACACTCAGTTTGGCACAAAATTATAACATTCATTGATTATTGATATAATAATGTTGTTTTAATACTCATCAATTGTTAAAACGGTAAACAACCAGCAAAAATATTTTTATCGTAACTGCAACGCCATTACAAAGTTACGTCGTCAGTTCAATCGCGACGTGTCAGGAACGCATTCTCTAAACGGCCGAACTATAAGTAAATAAATTCCGGGGAAACTGTCCATGGCAATAAAATTTTCTCCAAAGGTTATATAACTCGAAAATACAACTTTCCGATCTGATTCTGGAGGGAAATTGTTTAAGTTTATCGGTAGACTCATCATTCCTCTTCAGAGATTACTGGGACTATGTACATTTTGAATTAAAATCCAACAAAAGGCAGGTAGGTACAGCTTATTCCCGGGACCATGTTATTTGAATATTTTTTTATAATATATATATGTATTGTATATGTATATTTCATGTAAGTGCACACTTTGACAATCTCTATTTCCTTCAACTATCATTCAATAGGCCTGCTGGAAGAAATTTCATCATGGAATAAGCAGTGTCTTTGTACTTATTTATGTTTTTTTTACTATTTTCCTATCGAAGTTTGGGTATACATAAACTGGTAAATAAATAAATACATTTTTGCAGTTATTCAGTTTCGTTCACTAAACAATTTTTTAAATCTTTATACCGCTACCTTAACAATGTTTCGATAGTCCTTGTAAGTAAAATATACATCACTAGCTAACGCACACAAGGACAAATCAAAATTGGTTACACATTTTCGGGCTGTCAGGTCGTTTATACGCCAGTATATTTTAAGTCGATATGTATTGGGTAGTGCACACCACTACACGGTGGATAAATATTAATTTATATAAAATATATTATAGCTATATATCATGCACACAAACTTAATCAAGAAAAGTAAATAGGACATAAATAAAAAAATATGTTTTTGTAGGTGGTAGAGCCATGCTACAGGTATATTTATTTTGTAGTATAGTTGTATCACTAATGGGTCGGCTCGACCAGGGAAGGACCACGCTCTCACAGAATACCAGCGTAAAATAGCAGCTTAATGCTGCTGTGTTTCGTATGGTGAGTGTAGAGAACCGGAGACCTTTTTTACTGGAAAAGAGGCATTCCATCTTAGTCCTCACGGGTGACAACGCATCTGCATTTTGATTATGTTATGATAATTTTTTTTTTATGGAGAGGGGGCAAACGAGCATGCGGCTCACCTGATGGTAAGTGACTGCCGCCGCCCATGAACAACCGCAACACCAGGGGAATTGCAGATGCGTTGCCGGCCTTTTAAAAAGGAGTAGGCTCTTTTCTTGAAGGTCCCTAAGTCGTATCGGTCCGGAAAAATCGCTGGTGGTAAACTATTCCACAAGGAAGTTGTGCGAGGAAGAAAACATCTTCTAAATCGCACAGTGGTGGACCGCCAATAATCCAGATGGTGTGGATGGTATCGGGAGTTCTGCTTGCTGTGCGTTCGTGAAATTTGGCGGCTGGGATTAATCCGAACAATTCCTCAGAGCACTCCCCATGGTAAATGCGAAAGAAAATGCTAAGAGATGCAACATCTCTTCGCAGTGCCAATGAGTCGAGCCGATCGGAAAGGACTCGGTCGTCGACGATTCGAGCCGCTCTGCGCTGGATGCGGTCAAGTGGAAGAAGCTGGCACTGGGGAGCCCCAGCCCAGAGATGGGAACAGTATTCCATGTGAGGCCGAACCTGCGCCTTGTAAAGTTGCAGGCGTTGAGCCGGCATGAAATACTGTCCCGCTCTGCTGAGCACGCCAAGCTTTTTAGAGGCCAATTTGGCCTTTTCTTCCAAGTGACCACGAAACTGCACGCTACTCGATATGTCGACGCCAAGGATTCCGATACTGGCTGAGGCAACTAGGGGAGTACCTTGAAACTGAGGAGATACGACAAAGGGGTTCTTTTTATATATTTAAATGTCTATGGGTCACAGCAACCACTTACCATCAGGTGGACTGTGTGCTCGTTTGTCACCCTATCCTATAAAAAAAATTAAATAGAACACTTCTAAAACGATTATCGAGTTAGCTGAACCTAACTAAAACTTAAAGATTTAATCTTTGAGTTTTAGTTAGGTTAGGTTACAGGCGTTACATTATGTTCTGTCTCTTTCATTTTTATATTTTTGTGTTGTCGAACAGGTGCTTTACACGGGTGATTTCTCAAGACAAGAGGACAGGCATTTGATGGCAGCAGAGATACCTACAGTCCATCCAGACGTGCTCATCACGGTATGTGTTCTGTGCTTTGTGCCTTTGAAATGCTAATGTTATAACGAGGAAAGGTTTTTTATTTGTTGCTTTGTAACTCAAAAACAACTGAATCGAATATTGTGACATTTGTACCATGAATTTTATATTTTTTGAATTCTCAATGTTAATACACTAATGCTCTCTTCACAATACACAATGGAGTGAACGTTCAACAGATGCGCTACAGTGATATCAAATTGTGCAAAATTAACTATATTTTGTTACTGTTACATAGATTCCTCCTTACATAGGCCTCTCTCATAGATTGCCTCATAGGGGGGATGTTTCACATAGTTGCCACGCTTGGCAAGCTGGTTGGCAACAGCAGTTTTTTATTTTTAGTCATTATTAGCAAGATGCTGCTGCCCATCTCATGATTTGTTTCCCTCTGTCGTTTCTTACGACACTCACGGATTGATATGGGGTAGTGGTTTCTAATACGCCGTCAATACACGGTTTCGAACGATAAATTAATACTAATTACTTAGAAAATAATGTCATCCAGACCGAAATTCGATCACGGCGGCCAGTCTTAACGGACACTGAAGATGAAGAGCAGTACAGGATTATAGTGTACGAGTGTATGCGCAAGCACAGGTGCACCTGATAGAGCCATGCTGCAGCTATATTAGTAGTATAGTTGTAGCACGAATGAGTCGGCTCGACCGGGGAAGGACCACGCTCTCACAGAATACCAGCGTCAAATAGCAGCTTGACACTACTCTGTTTCGTATGGCGAGTGTAGAGAACCGGAGACCCATTTTACTGGAAAAGAGGCATTCCATCTTAGTCCTCACGGGTGACGACGCATCTGCATTTCCATTCTTTATTGAGCATAAATGTAGATGTTTATGGGTCACAGCAACCACTTACCATCAGGTGGACTGTGTGCTAGTTTGTCACCCTATCCTATAAAAAGGAGCAGGACCAACTGCCTCACGTGCTGTCCGCGGCAAGGGGGTGAAACAATAACTTCCTGACTTCGGGGTGCTGAGAATTTCTTGACAAAAAAAACAATAACTGATTTTGGCCCAACCCGGGACCTCATGATCTGCAACCGCGTTCCGGACCACTAGACCAACTAGACAACCAAATCCGGGCCAGATCGCTAGTTAATCTCAAGATGATGTTGAAATCTTCAACGTGGTAGAGCCAAGCTGCAGCTATATTATGATTGTAGCACGGATCGGCCCGACTGGAGAAGGACCACGCTCTTACAGAATACCAGCGTAAAATAGCAGCTTAATGCTGCTGTGTTTTATATGGTGGGTGTAGAGATCCAAAGACACTTTTTACGGGAAACGAGGCATTCCATATAAGTCCTCAGTGGTGACTACCTATCTGCAATTTGATTCTTAATAGAGGGTAAATGTAGATGTCTATGGGCGCTCAGCATCCACTTAACATCAGGTAGACTGTGTGCTCGTTTGTCACCCTTATTCAATAAAAAGAAATAGAAGGAAAGAAAGAAGTTGGTGTTTGTTGTAATATTTTATTATTACAACAAACACCAACGCACATGTTACACAAGATATTATAGACTTAGCAACTTATAACTACAGAACTAAAAAAAAAAACTAAATCTTAAATAAAATTGAAGCAAAGGACTCAGCATAATTTCGTGGTATTATTCATGAAGTATTAAAACGGATGTCAGCAGCATCTTTCTGATTATAACACTCAAAATAATAAAAATTTGCGGTAGCCAACCCGTCTGCCAAGCGTGGCAACTATGGCAAAATCCTCGCGATGAGGCAATCTATTTAATATAATAATATTTATTGATCCCAAAAAGACTACATAAAAGAAAACCTTATAAAATTTAAATTGACAAGACTTAATCCAATTCAATACTATAATTAGGGTATCTTTAGCAACCGTGCTAGGTCACAGACCTGTGTTACAGCTGCTAAACTCTCCCCATTACATACATTCCCAATAGAATAACAAAATCATTAAAAAAAAACACATTTTTACTGCAATCAAGAAACGAAATAAAGTGGAATCAAGAGTCTATGGGAGAGGCTTTTTATAGCAGTGGACTGTTATAGGCTATATGGATCCAAGAAGCTAGTTTTCAGTGAGCCCTCTAGTGAGTAACATGTTTATGCAACATCAAGTACAAATTAAGATGCTTTTATCTTCTAAAGGAATCAACTTACGGCACCCACATTCATGAAAAGCGCGAGGAACGCGAGAGCCGTTTCACCGGACTCGTGAGTGACATCGTAACGAGAGGGGGACGCTGTCTCATCCCTGTTTTCGCTTTGGGCCGTGCTCAGGAACTGTTGCTGATCCTTGGTGAGTGCTCAACTGTTTTGCGCGCCCCAACGTGAGGGAGTGCTCTACTCTCGATATGGGGCCGTACCTCAATTTCGCTACATAAAATCGTTCTTATACTTTTAGCTCGACATCAAATCTATATTATTATACACGTTACAATAACCACAGACATTGAATTATATGATTAGTTTACTTTTTAATTGATTTAATTTAGATTACATAACAAAAAATGTAATTGAAAAAATATATGGACTGCCGTCCGTTAGTCTGTGCGTCGGTGATTATTCTCGCTTAGTATTGAGATATATAGTATTAAATAAGATTCCATATATTCAAAGAAGGATCCCTATTCATTTTTGTTATTGAACTCGACGATATCGTTCAAAAGTTAATGAAAGTCCTTTTTCTTGTAAAAATTATGGTCACAATTTTTATTTTGTTCATCAAAATTAAATGAAATGCTCATGAGGCGTGCACTTTTGGGTTTTTTATTTTTTTATTCAATTGGAGTAAATTTACTTACAGTCCTCTATCTGTGGCCAACTTCTAACAAAAGCTACAGATGCGTTGTCACCTCTGTGGAATTAGATGGATTGCTTAATTCATTCACCCATTAAAACCTATCGAAAGTCCACTGTTATATAACATAGACTTCTCCCATAAATTGACATATAAGATATTTTCTATGGGATATTTACGTGGTAGAGCCAAGTTGCAGCTAGATTACCACGGACCACGTTCCCACAGAATACCAGCGTAAAATAGCACTTAAGGTGAGATACTTAAGAGATATAAGGTGGTTTTTCTACTTCACAAATATTTCTTTAAGTTTTATAGATTACGAACCCAAATGTTTGGTATATGATTTTTGACTATATGATCTTGGATTGCATAAAAGGAAAACATGATATCATGTTTTTTTCCTATTCCTCCTCCTTTACAATTTTTTTTCTCGTCAGAAAAAAATTGTAAAGGAGGAGGATCTAATTACGAGTCTAATTACGACAACACTACTATTCATTTTCAAGGTATCCTCTTAATGGTGTGCTGTGTTTCGTATGATGAGTGTAGAGAACCGGAGACCATTTTTATTTGCAAATGAGGCTTACTTTTGAGTCCTCAGGGGTGACAGCGCATCTGCATGTTGATTTTTCATCCAGAATACATGTAATGTCTATCACTTACCAACACGTGGAATGTGTGTTCGCTTGTCAGCGTTATTCTATAAAAAAAAATATTACAATTAGCTATATTTGTAAAATTTCTGTGCAGATGAGTACTGGTCTTTACACCCTGAGCTGCAAGACATCCCGATCTACTACGCGTCTTCTCTAGCGAAGAAGTGCATGGCGGTGTACCAGACCTACGTGAACGCCATGAACGACCGCATTCGCCGCCAGATAGCAGTCAACAATCCGTTTGTCTTCCGTCACATTTCCAATTTGAAGGTCAGTCGCGAATTCGCCGGTCGAGCCGTACCATTGGTTCTGCAGTATGAGTATTTCCTCCAGCGTTATACAGCTGCAGCGTGATATTTCATATAATATAATCAGGCGTTACTTTGCGGAAATTCATTATATTAGAGATGTAAAATTTAAATAGCCAAAAGATCCGTGTAATAAAATAAAATGATGTGCTAACGACCGTGGAAGGACCACGCTCTCACAGAATATCGGCGTAAAAAAGTAGCTTAACACTGCCGTGTTTCGTATGGTGAGTATATAGAACTGGATACCCTTTTACCATAAACAAGGCATTTAAATTAGTCCTCAGGGGCGACAACGCATCTGCATTTTGATTCTTTATCGAGGATGTCTATGGGCCACAGTATCCGCTTACCATGAGGTGGTCTGTGTGCCCATTTGACACCCTTATTCTATAAAAAAAAAAACTACTTCTCTAGGTTTATGTTAAGTCCACTGCTGAACTTAGGCCTCCCCCAAGGAATGCCACAAAGCACGGTCCTAAGCCACCTGCATCCATCGACTTCCTGCATGTCTTACCAGCTCGTCACTCCATCTAGTCGGGGGGACGCACTATACTTCGCCTACCGCCACGAGGCTGCCACTCGAGAACCTTTTTTCACCACCGGTTGTCGGTTCTTCGAGCTATATGGCCGGCCCATTGTCACTTCAGCTTACCAATGCGTTGATATAGGTCGCTCACTCTAGTTCTACTGCAGATATCCTCATTTCTAAGTTTAACTCCGAGCATAGCCCTCTCCATAGCTCTCTGAGCCACCTTGAGCGTCCCCATACGGCCAGCAGTGAAATACCACGTCTCAGATCCATAAGTCATCAAGGCAACACGCACTTGTACAATCTCGTTTTCAACTTTTGAGGTATACCTGACGAGAAAATGTGTCGTAATTTCCCGAACGCTGCCCAGCCGAGTTGAATCCGTCGATTGACCTCTCGGTCGAAGTTGGACTTACCTAGTCGGACTATTTGTCCCAGGTAAACATACTCGTCAACAACTTCAAGTGTAGTGCTCCCAACAACTACCGGCACAGGTGTGACATGGATATTCAACATGACCTTTGTTAGGTCTATGTTCAACTTATACCTATCCGTTGGGAGACACTATTGAGGTCATTGAGCATAGTGTTTAGGTCCTCTAGCGATTCTGCCATAAGAACTATATCGTCTGCGAATCGAAGGTGAGTGTTGCACTCGCCATTGATATTGATACCGTATCCTTTCCAGTCCATTAGCTTGAAAACGTCTTCCAATGTAGCGGTGAAAACTTTCGGGGATATAACGTCACCCTGTCTTACACCTCTCTGCGGTTGGATAGGTTTCGTACTCTGGTTCTGTACTCTGATAGGTCCGATGGCTCTAATATGGTCTATGGCACTAAAACCTTTTCGGAAACCGGCTTGTTCGGGAGGCTAGAAGTTGTTAAGTCTGTCTAGTCTAGAATTGTTCAAGTAAATAGCCGGCTATATTATAGGATGCGGTGCGAACGGCGAGAAGTTTTTAATAATTCGTTTTTAATATTTCGCGATACTACAAATGCCCTAAATTCGGGCTACAGGAAGAATGTTAAGGAATGCAAGCGCACTCACCCGAACTTACGCTGATCCGTCTCGTGTGTCAAGGGCTGCAGCCACGATGCTGCAGCTATCTTCACACATAAACTTCACAGATAATCGCGAAATATGGCGTTATTGTAAATGTCTATACACTTTTTTTTTCTTTTTTTATTATGTGTTACCTCATAACTTTTTTTCAGGGTGAACCGATTTCAATGATTCTTTTTTTATTTGAAAGCTGGTGCTTATCATGTGGTCCCATATATATTTGATCAAGATTTTACAAATAGGTTTTGAGTTATTCTTAATAATTTATATTGAAGTTGGTTGTTCAAAATGTTTAATTTTAAATTATGTATAGTTTAATATCTAAATTACACAAAGATGGATGCGATGGCACGAGATAGAAACGATGTGGATGGTTTCGTGTCTTCTGAACTTATGCGAACCCCGTTAATACAAGAGTACACATGCTAAAGGCATAGATGAGGTAGACAGGAAACCCGGAAATGGACTATTTGCAGTACTCTCTCTCTCTCTCTCTCTCTCTCTCTCTCTCTCTTATTGGATAATAATAGTAATTAACAAATGGCATAAGCACATGAGTAAAGAAATCGTACCGTACAGAGGCAAAGTTTCATACAACCGCGCTGTGATAAGTACAGTACTACAAGCTTAAGGCGCATGTGTGCGTGAGCACTTGCAGCTTGTCACGTACAGAGAGAAACTGCTTTAACCCTGCTCGGCCAGTGCTCAAACTCAGGGTTGTGTAAAAAATAATAAGTGTCAAATTTTGTTTTTTTAAAGAATAATCCGTATCAAATGAAATATAAGTAAGTGTAAATATGGTTTACGTAGATTTTGTAAATAAAATAAATAATTTTTTTAATGTCTTAATCTGAAGTACACTGCGATCTCCTAATAAATATAAAAGAGTTTTTCCATGCGATAGTTATCAAATTGAGGTTTTAGAAGAAATACTAATATTTTTCAGGAACTAAAAATCTCTAAGATGTGTAGACAGAAAGACGTTACAAATAGCATGAATTTCATTCACGAATTTCAAGTGTGTATAAAAATCTTTAATAAAACTTCATGAAGAATTAAAATCAGAGGAAATTAAATTCATTTATATTTACGAGACGTTTCAATCAAGATTGTCTCGAAAATTTCTTTGGGAAAGTCAGACAGGCGGGTGGTAACTGCCAGGAACAACATGTCGTCTAGTTAGTATTGCCTTCAATAAAATGTTTATAACCAATATCTTAGGGTAACCTCAAATACTATTTGTGAATAAGATTTCGATATGTTACTTATGAAACCAGACGATTGTCGTATTTTAATGATAGTAGGAAAATATAATTATCTATGTGTCGGGATATTTGTATAGAAAATGTTGTTTCGAACACCACAAACGTAAGAAAATAAATTATTTTTTTCTAGCATTATAAGGATTCTAATAAAGACAGTGTTCAATCGGATTTTTTAAAATGCTGATATACGTTTTGTTTATTTAGTTTTATCCTCCTGTGCCAAGCCTAAAAAAATAGGTAAAATTTTTGACAGCTCTTTAGGCCTGAATTCCTCCTACACTGACGTCGGTTGCGTACGGTCGGTCGTGTACGCGTACGTAGCAAACTACGCGCTGCTGTCGTCACCGTCGTAGTGTGGGGCTATATAGAACACAATGTACATTAGTACGCGCGACCGACGTACGCGACCGACGTCAGCGTAGGAGGAATTCAGGCCTTAGAAGCTTTCCCTCTGTACAGTTTCTTTACTCGGATAGTAGGTATAGTTAACTATTATTTTATTAAATAAAACAAGTAAAAAAAAACTTGTTAATTAAGATTTTTATTGAAAACAATCAACCTTGTATCGCATTCTGTTCACCAATAGCAAACACATCTATTTCTGGCTTAACTTTGTCATACAAATGAGGGAATGCTCCTTCAGCTTTGTACTTCTTCCTCACTTCTTCATACAGACTTAGATCGAACATCTCGCAAAATTCTTCTCTTGTCATGAATATATCGGCATAGAGGAACGAGTAACCACCAACTTCCCTCGTGAACTTCTCCATCTCCCTCATAGCAGCTACGGGGTTGTATGGCTTTTTAGCCTTCACTTTACCTGGAACTCCGTAAACGCCTAAATCGTTATACATTGCGTAGTTTGTACCCGGAACAAGGTATTTTTTATCTGGTCGCTTGAGCTGCCCCGATGATGACCCATGATCTATAATTTTGCACGGATAGACCAATAGAGGAAACTTCTCGAATAATATACTGGCTATTTCAATTTGTTTTTCCAATTCGGCTATTGGTAGGACTATGTCTTGGAACACTTGCTTCGTGAATGTGTAAGCGCGTACTCCAGGAGTAGTTGTGAATTTCAAGAAGGCCGGTTTTGGCGGCAAAAGCCACCCGAATAGAGATCTAAATATGGGATCGTTTCCGAAGGACAACATGTCTTCGACCACCCAGAAGATCGGTCGGTTGTGACGTAACAAATAATCGCGCAAGGGTATGAGTTCGACAGTCTCGCCCTTTGCTAGAAACGACTCAACGTGTTTATAGAACCACGGTTTGAACCATTTAGCGCAGTGATTTACGGGCAATTTTGGATCGTAGTCGGAATAGTCTCCCGTCATGATAACGGCCCGATCTCTACTGAAGATTGTACCTTCTATGTAATCGGGATGCACTGATGGCTTGGCTTCGTTAGCTCCTGACAGGTTTCTCAGCATATCACAATAGTTCTTCTGCCCCGATACTGGAGTGTATTTTAGCTTAATGTAAGGTTTTATTTTAACAATTCTCAAGGTCAAGGCGACGAGAAAGCCAAGGCTGCCATGTGACCACGGCAATGCCTTGTAAAGGTCGGCGTACTCGTTGTCAGCGGTTGCCGTGACTAAGGATCCATCGCTGAGGACCACCTCGTAGCTTGTGATCGTTTCATGGTACAGACCGGCTTTGTGGGAGTGAGTCGACATCCCTGTGCCGAATGCGAGACCTGAAAAAATTTTAAAAGTCAATTTTTAATAGACTTACATTTAAAAATTTTTTTATAGGCTAATATGTTGCCAAACATACACACAATCCACCTCATCAAGTGGTCTGTGTGTTATATTATGTTATTGGAAATTGTTTATTGGAAATTTGTTACTGGAAACGAGACATTCCATCTTAGTCCGTTAGTACCGTAGTTAGAAATAAAGACATTGCTATATTATACTATAGCAATGTCTTTCTTTCTTTCTTTTCTTTTTACGTGGTAGAGCCATGCTGCAGCTATATTAGTAGTATAGTTGTAGCAGGAATGGGTCGGCAAATGGCAGCAGCAGAACCGGAGACCCATTTTACTGGAAAAGAGGCATTCCATCTTAGTCCTCACGGGTGACGACGCATCTGCAGTTTGATTCTTTATTGAGGATAAATGTAGATGTCTATGGGTCACAGCAACCACTTACCATGAGGTGAACTGTGTGCTCCTTTGTCACCCTTATTCTATTAAAAGTTACAGATGCGTTGCCACCACTGAGGACTAAGATAAAATGCCTCTCAGCCTATAGAAAGAAAAGAAAGAAAGAAAGAAGAAAGACATTGCTATATTTTGCTATATAGTAGACTAGTTATACTGGCCCCTTTAGACTGAAACATAGAAATAAATAAGGGGGTAGGTACTAAAAACATAACATTAAAACATAACATAAACACTCACGCCTGTCACCCAGAGGGGTAGGCAGAGACTACGGACTTCCATTTGGCGCGATCCTGACACACCTCTCTCGCCTCTTTTACATCCATATATCTACGCATACACGCTCGTCGGTTATGGGTACTCCTAATCTGGCCCATTTTTAATGTATCGCCGATTTGGTCGATAAACCTTCGTCTAGGGCGTCCCTTCCCGACCCTGCCGTTCACTTCCGCAACATAAATTTGCTTTGTCACTCTTTCCTCGTTCATTCTTTCTACATGACCAAACCACCGAAGCATTCCTTTCTTAATCCTTGTCACAACGTCATCTTGCAGACCACACTTTTCTCTTATCACACTATTTCTCACCCTGTCATTCAGATTCAGCCCTAGCATACTCCTTAAGGAACGCATTTCTACAGCATTTATTCTACTCTCATGCTTCTTCTGCCAGACCCAACTTTCACTACCATACATTAAAGTAGGGACTAACACAGCATTATGAATTGCCATACGTGCCTTAGTTGACACATTCTGACTCCTCATAATAGCGTATAGAGCCCCATTCACTCTATTTCCTGCGTTCACTCGTCGTTCTATATCCTTATCATATCTACCATCCCTGCTAAATAAACATCCCAAATATACAAATTCATCCACTTGCTCAATCAACTCCCCTTCTATTCTTATTTCACATAAAGTTTTACTTTCTTCTCTTTCAAAAACCATCACTTTCGTCTTACTTGCGTTCACTTTCATACCCCTTTCTTTCAATGACCAATTCATTAAAGTAACCATCATTTGCAACTCGGCCGCCGACGATGCAAATATGACTTGATCATCGGCGTACAAAAGGCATTTGACGGTTGACTCACCCATTCTCAACCCACATTCTTCAACTTTCAAAGTTTGCAAACAATTGTCCATAAATAAGTTAAACAGCCACGGGGAAGCCACACATCCCTGTCTGACACCTTTATGAATGCCAAACCAGTCCGAGTAGACCCCGTTGATCCTGACACAAGCACTAGAGTCCCTATAAAGAGATCTTAATGCCTGTATCAAGCCAGCGCTCAACCCAAATGAGTTCAGTGTTTGCCATAACACATTCCTGTCCACTCTGTCATAAGCCTTTTCCAAGTCCATGAACGCACAAAAAACTTTCTGGTTTTTAGCCAAAAACTTCTCCGCTATCATGCGCATGGAAAAGACGTGATCCGTACACCCCATCCCCTTTCTAAATCCAGCTTGCACATCCCAAATTTTTCCATCAGTTTCTTCCATAACTCTTTCAATTAACACCTTAGCATACAGTTTACCCACAATGCTAAGCAAGCTGATACCACGGTAGTTTTTACAGTCCTGCTGCGACCCCTTTCCCTTATATATTGGGACTATAACGGCTTTGCACCAGTCTTCCGGTACCCGTTTCAGTTCCCAACATAAATTAAACAAGGTGTGCAGCAGGCCTGTCACCACACCATCACCAGCCCTTAGCATTTCGAGTGATACTCTATCATATCCGGCTGCCTTACCTGCTTTCATGCTTTTCATTGCTTTCATTATTTCATCTACACTTATCTCCCTACCTCTCTCCACTTCTTCCGGAATTTCTATTTCACTTATTCCAGACGACTCTTCACTCTTAAACACGCTTTCAAAGTATTCCTTCCATCTCTTTAAATTCGAAACTTCATCATTCAGCATGCAGCCATTCTCGTCTCGTATAGCATTTATTCTAGGCTGTTTTGAATTTCCCCTGGCAGTTCTTACGAGCTTCCAGAACATTTTAATATTTGCCTGGAAGTTATCAGATATCCTTCTATCATTCTTATCTATCCTTTCTTGCTTTTTCCTTTCAACAACTTCTTTTACTCTCTTATTTATACGTCTAAAGTCTGCCTTTTTTCTTTCAATCTCATCATTCATACCGCCAGAATTACCAGCTTTAGTTGCTAGTAAATCTAGCCATGCTCTCTTCTTTGCTTCAACTTCCATCCGTACCTCATCATCCCACCACAACGTATTACTTTTCCTTTCATTCGTTCTCTTACTTACACCGCATACTTCGGTGGCTGCATCCACCAAAACTTTCTTAATATTATTCCATACATTCTTTAATTCTAAATCATTCATACATAATTCATTCAACCCACTTATATTTTCCCTCAATCTGCATTTATACTTCTCTTTCACACCTTCATCTTGTAACCTCTCTATTCTTATACGCTGTAACGCAGTGGTAGACACCGATGTCCGATGCCGCCAACGTCTGAATAGACCATTAATTCGGCATAAGACCAAGTAATGATCCGTCCCTACGTTGGACCCCCGGTAAACCCTTGTATCTACCACTGCGCTCCTCATTCTTTCATCCACAATTATAAAATCTATCATGCTTCTATCATCCCCTCTTTCCCATGTATACATGTGAATCCTCTTATGGCGAAAGAAAGTGTTCGCCACAAAAAGATTCTTTTCCACACATACGGTGAGGAGGTCTTCACCATTCCCATTTATTCTTTCATCGCCAAACGTTCCTAATATCCTTTCATAACCAGACCTCTTCACCCCAACCCTTCCATTAAAATCTCCTAACATAATAATATTTTCATTTTCCTTACATTTCATCAACACCAGCCTTACCATGTCCCAAAACTGCTCTCGGATATAAGTGGGCTTAGACATATCTGGGGCGTACACCCCTAGCACAAACAACTTCTTTAAGCCCACTTTCATTCGTATCCACAGCAGCCTTGGGCTAACACATTCATACTCTTTCACACATTGACCCATTCTTTCTGAAAGGATGACACCGACTCCCTGGCATGCCCGCTCGGTCTCGTCTACTCCAGACCAGTAAGCGGTATACATGCCATGTGCAGTGACATCTCTTCCCTTTCGTTTCGTCTCGTTTACACATAACACATCTATTCCTCTATCATTCATCATTTCGCATACTTCATCCATCTTATCATTCATTGCTCCACATACATTCAGCGTGGCCAGACGGGCCTCCGCAATCCACTTTTCGCCCCCCCGGGAGACAGGACGTGACGGGTGGCGAACCTCGTCGCCGGTTTTTCTCCCGGAGATTCTTCGCACCCCTGCCCCATTAAAGGGGCGCCGGGAACTCGGGGCCATTTCTTTTCCTTCTTGGCTCATGGTGCGAACTAAAGGGTGGTAGATTTTATGCCGCTACCATACGGCGAGGAGCCGAGGCTGTCGTTTCGGCTTTGTCGCTCGTTTAGCACCACCCGGGGGACACGTGTAGGGTGGGCCTAGGATTAGGTGGTCGAAGCCTACGGACGCGAGCGACTCATCCCATCATATGTACTAAAATAAATAAAAATAAATAGAGAAAAGGATAGATGGTAGAAATCCTTTTATACTTGGGAGTCCGTTTGGTTAGGTACCTCCCTCTGTACCCTTCTTTGTTTAAAGTTGTTTGTAAGTGTCCGTAGGCTGTAGGTGCCACATATCATCAGGTGAACTGTTAGTTTGCTTGTCATCTAAATGTATATATTTTTTTTTTATAGAATTAGGGTGACAAACGAGCACACTGTCCACCTGATGGTAAGTGGTTGCAGTGGCCCATAGACATCTACCTACATCTATCCTCGATTACGAATCAAAATGCAGATGCGTTGTCAACCGTGAGGACTAAGATGGAATGCCTCGTTTCCAGTAAAAAAGGTTCTCCGGTTCTCTACACTACCTCTAACACCATACGAAACACAGCAGCGTTATGCTGCTATTTTACGCTGGTATTCTGTGAGTATATCATTCGTCTGATATGTTGTAATAAATTTAGCAAAGGGAACACGGAGTTTTGGCGGGAATTTTAAGGTCACGTTACCTACATAACCTCCTGATTTTATTTGTAAATTAAATTGGTAAAAATTGCCTTGCTTATATCCGCTTAATGAAATAAAATGATGTGTCTTACCTAGTTTTAAGTCCCGTGTTCCTTCAATTACGTACGCTATCCTAAAGACATCATCGTCGATAATACGTCACGTGTTTCGCCTCTACAAGAGGCATACTCAGGTGAAGTAGACTGCGGTGGCTGACCGCTAAGTGAGCGTGAGCCAAAGTAATTTTTACCAACTTTAATATAATGGATTTCCGCAAACTAACGCCTGATTCTATTAATTAGTTTTATTTGTTATTATTAAAGTACAACATGTTTGTAATAAATAACTTTTAAATCCAACCATACAAACTTACTTTACTGTTTAAATAAATATATTTTCAAATAGATATAAAATTACCTATCACTAAAAATAAAAAATGAAGTTTGGGCTCACCTCCTAAAGTGGCATCCACCAATTCGATGGTCACCGCTAACGAGTAACCCCTCGGTATGAGATACTCAGTGATATCACCAATGGTTACCATCGGTTCCACCTTGACTGTCATGGCCTGCTCGTCTAGCTCTAGGATTTCGTAGAGCGGTATCGGCACCCGATGGTGCAGATGCTTCTGGAAGAATGTTGTGGACAGCGACAGCCAGTTCGGTCTAGATGTGCAAAGGAGGCGACGCTCTTTAGCTGGTAGTTTGTTCCAATCTTGGACCTGGAATTTCAAATAAAAAAAAATCTTCTAGTTTATTTTGGACACGATGTCTTTGAGCTTTCCATTGGTTGGAGATAAGTTGAGATTTAGATTTTAAAGTCACGTTTCGAGGTCTGGTCTACAAATTTCCAGTTTTAAGAATTGGTGTTGGGAGTAGTTAAGTGGTGGCGGTTTTAGTGCACGTAGACCCTTTTTACTGGAAAAAGGCATTCCATCTTAGTCCTCAAGGCTGACAACGCATCATTTTGATTCGCAAACGATGATAGATGTAGATGTCTATGGGCTTCAGCAACCACTTATCATCAGGTGGACTGTGTGCTCGTTTGTCACTCTATTTCTATAAAAAAAACGAAACCCAAGGAGTGAAGGTGGTGCTCTTCAAACTAGGTAAATACACCGTTTTAATTTTGACGCGGATCTTAACTATTTATTTTCACATGTGTAATATAATGCATTTTCGCGTAGTTACGTCTGATTCTATTTATTATCCAATGTTACTGTTTGTAGATGATGTCTGTGTGTATGTGTGCAGGTCCGTACTATAATAAAGTTTTTCGTCTGGCATATCTGGAACGAATGACATTGTGTCAAAACAAATATCATTCGAAGCTTGATTGTAAAACGAATTAACACTTAATTAAAATCGATTCTGTAGTTTTTTTTTTAAATTAGTTTATTAATAAAATGTCTTAGCACCACTCAAGTGTTACATCAGAAATTGGTAGGTTACTGAGGGCCATGGTTGGCGCCAATATGTCATGGACTTGAGGTAAAATGTCGATAAGGGAGAAACCAGATTGAATGATACCATCATAATTATGGGATCGAAATGCTGGAGTGTTTCGTATGGTGAGTGTAGAGAGCCGAAGACCCCTTTTAATGGTGACAACGCATCTGCAGTTTCATTCTTAATCGAGGATAAATGTTGATGTCTATGGGCCAAATTATCCACTTACCATCATGTGGACTGTATACCCGTTTATCAGACTTTATTCTATAAACATACCCGTTTATCAGACTTTATTCTATAAACAAAAAAAATGGAAAAACAGCTCACCCTCCTCTGTATCTCCCTAACCGCAACTTCATGCTGTTGTCCACCGCCCAGCCTCCTCAGCCAGGCCCTGACCTTCAGTAGCAACGTGAACAAGAAGCTGGCTGGTAAGCAAAACACCAACACGACTAGTTCCCGGTGCTCTTCGAGCCAAGTGATGAGCCGCTGCTTGATTGTGTCTGGAAGCATTTCTGGAACAACAAAGTGCGTGATCATTGATTTGTAATTATAGTGAATCATACCGCTAATGTACAGCTTAGGAGAATCAATCACGACATTACGTCCCGTGGGTGTCGTAAAATGCGGTTATATCTTTTATAGGATAGGGAGACAAACGAGCACAATGCAAAAATCACACAATCAAAATGCAGATGCGTTGTCACCCGTAAGGACTAAGATGGAATGCTTCTTTTCCAGTAAAAAGGGTCTCCGGTTCTCTCTTCTACACTCACCATACGAAACACAGCAGTGTTAAGCTGCCATTTTACGCTGGTATTCTGTGAGAGCGTGGTTTTTCCCCGTTCGAGCCAACCCATTCGTGCTACAACTATACTACTAATATAGCTGCACTACGGCTCTACCACGTACATATTTTAGAGATTAAGGTGACAATGACAAACGAGCACAGTATATCTGATGGTGAGTAGCTGCTGTGACCCATAAACATATCATCTCGATTAAGGGTCAAATGCAGATGCGTTGTCACCCCTAAGGACTAAGACGGAATGTCTCGTTTCCAGTAAAAAGGGTCTTTGGTCCTCTACACTCACCATAGAAACAGAAATTTTTATACGTGGTGGAGCCATGCTACATCTATATTATGGTTGTAGCACGAATGGGTCGGCTCGACCGGGGAAGGACCACGCTCTCACAGAATACCAGCGTAAAATAGTAGCTTAACGCTGCTGTGTTTCGTATGGTGAGTGTAGAGAACCGGAGACCCTTTTTACTGGAAACGAGGCATTCCATCTTAGTCCTCACGGGTGACAACGCATCTGAATTTTGACTCTTAATCGAAGATAGATGTAGATGTCTATGGGCCACAGCGACCACTAACCATCAGGTGGACTGTGTGTGCTCGTTTGTCACCCTTATCCTATAAAAAAAAATACAGCAGCATTAAGCTGCTATTACACGCTAGTTACTGTGAGAGCGTGATCCTTCCCCTTCAAGCCGACCTGTTTGTATAATATTATTACGGCAAGGTTTTACCACGTAACGTTTGGTATATTTTGAGCTGAGGCTGAGGTTCACTGATTTCTGAAAGGTGATTTTAAACTAGGAAAATTGTGCAAGTGTAAAAGTATGTTTATCTATTAACTATTATTGTACAAAATATTTTTGTTATAAAACAAGCGACAAACGAACCTGACGATGACTACTGCAGTCCGTGGTGTGAATACAATATTATAATATAAGATAAATAATATTCTGATTAAATTAAAATAGAGATAACTATAATGATGACGAAGCATAGCAGTTTTGAACTCTTCACTCAACTTGAATTCATAGAACATTCGCTTTAAATGTAAGTAATATATACCTGAATCTTGCTGCGGACGACAGAAATAATACCTTTTGTAAACGTTAAATGTCCTTTAGGAGATAAACTCAATACACTTTTTTAACTACACAGCCTTTTATACAGCCTTTTTAACTAAACATTTCATGCTTACATTTTTAAATTATTTGTAACAATCTTAATCTATTCACCGCTTAATAGTACGGTCACCTAAGTATAACCGATATAAAGACAATAGGTCTGTTCCTTTTCATGTATTAATACTAACTAAATTAATACCATAATCGATCTATATTACTCGTGTTGCACACTTGTATGATAATGACAACATTGATATACAATAGATAATAATAATCAATATAGAGTTGTACATAAAACAGAAAACGCAAGAAAATCAAAGCATTCATTCTGGAGTAACTTATTCATATTTTTTGAAGGTTTGAATGATCATAAATGGAATGAATTATGAAATAAAAAGATGTTATTGTCATAAAGCTAAGGTCAGACTACGTTATACTATTCTGCTAGATACCTAGTATTATAACACATTGCTTCATAAGTAAGCAATCCAATAATAATGCATAGTGTGAAGTGTGAACGTGTCCATAAAAATGATGTTGTGATATTATGTATGTATAGTATTTCCTATAATCTGTATTCTGTATATAATAGAGTAGTCTGTACTTAGTATAATATTGTTACGTAACGCTTCCAAAATCACGCCTTGACCTTGGCTAGCAATTCGATGAATATGACGCATTGGCTCCTTTAAATTCTTTTTACTTTTACAATTTAAACCTTACGTGTATTGTATTAGATTATACTTCAACTACGTTAATAGATTTGTTTGTTTAAGACCTTATCGTTTTAATGCAACAATAGATTATCAACGAACGAGAGCTTAAATTTGTTCACAAATTCAGTTTGTTGCTATGCTACAAGCGCAGCTACGATAATTAATTATCAAATTAAAACGCACTAAACGTTATTATAAAATAAAATAAATAATTTAAAAAATCAAAAACCTGAATGTAAAAAAGATAATTTAAAAGTAATACACTAAAAAGATCGAAACAAGATTGAGAATAGAAAACAAAATTTAAATAAACTATAAACAAAGTAAAGTATACTTCGGTTTCGTGAAAACAGTTCGGCCAAAATGACTTTCTACGACCGTTAACGCTATAGATAACTATAAAATGAATGGAAATAACAATATCTGAACGTTAAATTTATTATCATAATAACATTGAAATACCAGGGCGGCTAAAAAGTTCGCGGCCTAGGGTACTTAACGATGAGTAATTAGCTTGGTACTCATGTCACTAGTTGTAAAACTCAGTAGTATTATAAAAGCAGCAATCACTAATTAAGTTTGCACTCATAGTTCAATTATTTATTGAACAACAAACATCAACATGTCAGCCGAATCTGGAAATTCTTCTTCACATACTTCTGTAGTGTTCATTGTTTGAAGTTAGCTGTCTGTGGGCTGCAGTAGCCACTAACCATCAGATGAACTGTAAGTTTAAAAAAAAACGTTACCCCCACACTAGAATTTTCTTCTGGATCGGAGGCAGTTTGAAAGCCCAAATTTCACAAGTAAATTTTTTTTTATAGAATAGGGTTACAAACGACAAAACATATATCCTCGTTTGCGAATCAAAATGCAGATGCGTTGTCAGCTTTGAGGACTAAGATGGAATGCCTCTTTTCCAGTAAAAAGGGTTCTCTACACTCACCGTACGAAACAGCAGCGCTAAGCTGCTATTTTACGCTGGTATTCTGTGAGAGCGTGGACCTTCCCCGGTCGAGCCGACCCAGTCGTGCTACAAAACAAATATACTATTAATATAGCTGCAGCATGGCTCTACCACGTACAAACGCAGGCTTTACAAAAACTTGTTCCACGACAAGGATTTGAACCCGCGGTCCTCAGCGGTGCAACTTAATGTTAAGCCACTGCGCCACGGGGCCGTCACTTCAGCTTTGATAAAAAAAAACTCCTTTCAAAGTCTTACCACTATTTTCGCAGGTTGAATAATTTGTCAATCTAATGTTATTAGATATCTGCGATTGGGCGTCATTGATATAGATAGAAAAAACTAGATTCGTTACCGTTACAGCCTATAAAGTCAGAACATAGGCCGGTCTCATAGACTTCCTCATTGGGGGATTTAGCCATAGTTGCTATGCTTGGCAGGCGGGTTGGCAACTGCAGTTTTTTATTATCTTGAGTTGTTATAAGGAAGATGCTTCTGTCTGTCGCCTCTTTCGACACCCACAGGATGATATTTGGTAGTGGATATTCCCACACCCCTACCACCACACGGTGGAGCTGGATCACGTCTGTAACTTTAATATATTTTGTTCAGGGCATTGATCACTTTGAAGACATCGGTCCGTGCGTGATCATGGCTTCGCCGGGAATGATGCAGTCTGGGCTGTCGAGAGAATTGTTTGAGTCCTGGTGCACAGATCCGAAGAACGGGGTCATCATTGCAGGTGAGGCGTTCACGTTTTAATTTAAATTTATATATTATATGGTCCCATAACACTGGCTGGTCCTTGGACAACACAGGAATCCGTACTATATATATATATCTGACATCCATTCACAATTAAGAATTAAAATGCTGATGCAGGGGTGATCCCTGAGGGCTAAGATGGAATGCCTTTTCAACATTAAAAAGGGTCTTCCAATAATGTCCTCCAGACCGTGTTTCGGACACGGCGGCCAGGCTCAACGGAGACTAGCCATCGATGCAGGATAGGATTACAGTGCCAAATGTACGCGCAAGCACAGGCGCACTCCTCATTTCCTCACTCTCGTAGTCCGATGGGACGGTAATCCCACACGGAGAGAGATCAGGCGCAAGACCAACGACTTTACGTGCTTTTCGAGAGGCACAGGGGTGAGACATCGCCAACTTATTGACTCCGGACAGCTGCTGAGAATTTCTTGATGGAAAACTCAATAACTGTTTTTTTTGGTCCGACGCGGGACCCAGCAGTCGCGTTTACAAACACTAGACTAACGAGGCAGTCTTCTGGCCGGTTTCCCCGGTTCTTTGCTCTCACTATACGAAACACAGCAGCATTAAGCTGCTATTGTACGCTGGTATTCTGTGAGAGCGTGGTCGAGCCGGCCCATTCGTGCTACTACCATAATATAGATACAACTTGGCTCTACCACGTATATAAAAATTATCTATAATATTTCATTACAGTTTATCAAAAATTCACTGCTGATCATAGGCCTCCCCCATAGATTCCCTCATAGGGGGTGATATTTGCCATAGTTGCCACGCTTGGTAGGCGGGTTGGTAGCCACAGTTTTTAATTATTTTGAGTTGTTATCAGGAAGATGCTGCAGCCCATCTCCTGTTCCAGTTTACCTTTGCCGGCTCTACTACACGCACTCTCCCATTCTGCCTGCTTCAACAACAAATATATATGTAACTACCTTCGTTTTTCTTCGTGAATCCAGGTTACTGCGTCGAAGGAACTCTGGCAAAAACAATCTTGTCCGAACCAGAGGAGATCACGACCATGTCGGGGCAGAAGTTGCCTCTCAAGATGTCCGTGGACTACATTTCGTTTTCCGCGCACACCGACTACCAGCAGACCTCCGAGTTTATCAATATACTCAAGCCACCACATGTGGTGAGTAATTGTTCCTTGTCTTATTTTAGTTCATGAATCTTTGATGAATTATATTTTACTACTAGCTATTCCCCGCGACTTCGCCCGCGTGTTTATTGGGGTTTTAATTTTTTGCGCGGAACCCTTATTATTTTTCTAAAATAAAAGTAGCCTAACTTACTCCTTGTGACATCAGCTATCTGCCAGTAAAAATCCCATCAAAATCGGTCTAGCCGTTTCCGAGATTAGCCAGACAGACAGACAGACAGACAAATACTTTAAAATTGTATTTTTGTTATTAGTACCGTATATACTTTCATATACATTTAGTAAAAAGCTGTAATTTTGACGTTACAAACAGATACTCCAATTTTATTTATTTGTATAGATATATTTTGGTTGTTTTAGGAATTAATAAAGTAACAAATTTAAAAACTTTTAATTATGATTTCTTATATTTACGCGAACACTACACATATAAATAAAACTAGTTTTTACGGATTCTATCGCGTATATTAAGTTCTTTTATATTCTCGGCGTTTCGAACACTTCACATCACGGTCACGGTGGGAACTGGGGTGTTCGACGTCCGAATTTCATAATTAATCACGGCTACCTCCAGATTAAAATTATTAATTTTTGTTCCGATCTACGCAGTATGAAGTTATAATCTCGCAGTTGTATGCTTGGGTTGGGATTTAATTTTATTAATTAATATAGGATCCCGAGCAGATCACCCAGCCATCTTTTTTTTTTTGAAATTAGGATGTTTTTTTGATTTCAATAGCCTCGCAAATCATCCTTGTAAGGAATCGGTGTCTTTAGCGAGGATTTGTGGTCTATTAAATCTGATGTGGTGACGGGGGTGATCCTGTAGGTGTTCACAGACTACAGATTTCCCGGAGCGTCCATTCTTCATATCAGTTATGTGTTCTTTAACACGGGTTTTTATTGGTATTTTAGTTTGTCCTATGTAAGAGGGACCACATTGGGTCACACCAACATGTTCTAATTTGACAAAAAACCTATACAGCTTTAAAGCTATGTTTATGAAAATAACAATAGTTTTTGTTTCATCCAAATTGGTGCAGAAATACGAAAGTTATAACGTTTTGAATTTGCGCAATTTTTTAAAGTTTTCACCCACTCGTTCTCTGTGACGTGACGTCACAACCCGTCAGAGCGAACGCGCACTACGAGGGCTGCACTAAAAGTATCGGGAATGGAATATTTCCACTGTTCCTGTCATATAATTTTTTTTTTAATTGAAAAGTCCTTGGTTTTAAAAATCGAATACCATTTATTTATTTAAAAAAAGATTCTCGGTCTTGTCACAAGGTTTTGTCAAACTTGTTTAGTCGTTGAGAAAATGGAATTGACTCGAGAAAATTCAAGAGCGATGATTTATGATGACTTTCGAAGTGGTTTAACACAAAAACAGTGTGTTGACCGGATGATTTCTGCATTTGGTGATGAAGCCCCATCCAAAACCACAATTTATCGCTGGTTTGCTGAATTTCGACGTGGACGTGTCAAGCTCAGTGATGATCCCCGTCAAGGTCGTCCAAAAACTGCAGTCACCCAAGAAAACGTTGATGCTGTGCGTAACCTGATTGAGGAAGATCGACATGTGACATACCGCGAAATTCAGGCAACTTTAGACATTGGCATGAGTCAAATACAAATAATCTTGCATGAACAATTAGGTGTAAAAAAGTTGTTTTCCCGATGGATACCGCATTCGCTCTGTGAAGAGCAGAGCATTACTTGGTGCGTCAGAACTCTCGAAAGGTTCCACGCAGGATCCTCAAATGCTGTATACAACATCGTATTAGGTGACGAATCCTGGATATACGCGTACGAATCCGAAACAAAAAACCAGTCACGAGTTTGGGTGTTCGAAAATGAGTTAAAGCCAACAAAAATTGTTCGTTCACGGAGTGTTTCAAAAAAAATGGTGGCTACGTTTGTCTCCAAAACCGGCCATGTTACGACTATTCCTCTTGAGGGACAAAGAACGGTTAATGCAGAATGGTATGCTAGCATTTGTTGGCCACAGGTCGTTTCTGAACTCCGTAAAGAGAACTACAACCGCCGCATCATCCTCCATCACGACAATGCGAGTTCTCACACCGCACACAGAACAAAAGAGTTTTTAGAGCAAGAAAACATAGAATTATTAGACCATCCGCCGTACAGCCCAGACCTAAGCCCTAATGATTTCTATACTTTCCCTAAAATAAAGAATAAATTGCGTGGACAGAGATTTTCATCACCTGAAGAAGCTGTGGACGCCTACAAAACGGCCATTTTGGAGACCCCAACTTCCGAATGAATGGATGGAACCAACATCGTATGGAAAAATGTGTCAAATTTAGCTTAGAATACTTCGAAAATCTATAAATACATTTTTAAATAGTAATGTTGTGTCACTTCCTTGATTCCCGAAATTTTCAGTGCCGCCCTCCTACAAGTAACTAAGTTCAGTGCTAACCGCGCGCTTGGAAGTATGCGGTCGTTTACCTACATATTATATAGAATGTTAGAGTTAATGTCAGGTTGACTGTATTAGATGACATAACACTTATAATAAACCCAACGACTATATAATAATTTTGAACTAATAATTTATGAATAATCTAATCTAATAGGAATAATCTAATTCAATGTAACTACCGGTACGAGGCTGCCACTCAAGAATCTTTCTTCCCCATCGGTTGTTGGTTCTTCGAGCTATATGGCCGGCTCACTGCCACTTCAGCTTACTAATCCGTTGGGCTATGTCGGTTACTCTGGTTCTACTGCGGATAAACTCATTTCTAAGTTTATCACGCAGAGAAACCCCGAGCATAGCCTTCTCTATAGCTCGCTGAGCGACCTTGAGCTTCCTCATACCGCCAGCAGTGAAGGACCACGTCTCAGATCCGTAAGTCATCACTGGCAACAAGCACTGGTTGTATAATTTCTTTTTAAGGTTTTGAAAATTGTCTGACGAGAAGATGTGTCGTAGTTTCCCGAACGCTGCCCAGCCGAGTTGAATCCGTCGATTGACCTATCGGTCGAAGTTGGACTTACCTAGTTGGACAATTTGTCCCAGGTAAACATACTCGTCAACAACTTCGAGCTTAGTGCTCCCAACAACTACCGGCATAGGTGTGACATGGACATTAAACATGATCTTTGTTTTGCCCATGTTCATCCTAAGACCTATTCGTTGGGAGACACTATTGAGGTCATTGAGCATGGTGCTTAGGTCCTCCAGCGATACTGCCATAAGGACTATATCGTCGGCAAATCGAAGGTGAGTGATGTACTCGCCATTGATGTTAATACCGTATCCTTTCCAGTCCAGAAGCTTGAAAACGTCTTCCAATGCAGCGGTGAAGAGTTTCGGGGATATAACATCACCTTGTCTTACACCTCTCCGCAATTGGATAGGTTTCGTACTCTGGTTCTGTACTCGGATAGCCATCATAGCTCTACTGTCCAAACACTTCAGCACTTCGATATACCGACAGTCAACTTGGCACCGCTGAAGAGACTGCAGCACCGCCCAAATTTCGACGGAATCAAAGGCTATCTCACAGTCCACATACGCCAGACATAGTGGCAAATTGTACTCTTCGGACTTCTGTACAATTTGCCGAAGGGTATGTATGTGGTCTATGGTGCTAAAGCCCTTTCGAAAACCTTGTTCGAGAGGTCCAGCCGGTTTTCGAAAAAAATGTCGAGTCTGCATGCGAGGCGATCCATAATGACTCTCGAAAACAGCACGTAGACACGGCTCAGATGGGAAATCGGCCTGTAGTTCTTCAAGAGAGCGTTGTCGTCTTTTTTAAAGAACAAGACCATTGCACTTCTGCTCCACGCCTCCGGTGTAGTGCCACCATAGAGGACGGAATTAAAGAGCTTCTGACGAACTTTTAAGTACCGGTTTTCCACACGCTTTCAGAAGCTCCGCTGTAATTCCATCCTCGCCTGGGGCCCTGCCGTTTTTAAGGTGCTGGAGAGCCATTCTAATCTCGCTCAGACTGAGGTCCGGAATATCATCGGAATAGTTTCGGATAAGACTTGCTCTTGGATCCTTACACTTGCGTTTGGCTCCAACGATGATGTGTACAGTTGCCCATAGAACCTGTCAATCTTACTCGGTCGGCCACACTCGGTCTTCTGGCAGACAGATTTCTAGCAAAGACTTTGGAGCCCTGGTTCCGCTCGATCGCTTCTTCAATACGACCAGTACTAAAGTCGCGTATTTGGAGATCTGTCTGTTCAGTCGCGTGTATGCTATCAAATCTACTGAAGACTGCAGCTTCATTTCCCGTCTAATAGCCATGAGATTAAGAGTGTGATCGGAGAGTTTTTGTGTTCTTCTGCGGCGGGTCTAGCAAAACTTAGCTCCGACCGCATGGACAGTTTCTACGAGCTTGTCATTCATATCGTCCACTGCATTGCAATCTTCTAGGCACTGAAAACGGTTTTGTAACTCGAGCTGAAAGGTTTCGGGAGTTTAGGTTAGAGCACGAGGGGGACGGAGCGTTGACTTCATTAGACGACACCTTTCCAACTTAACGTTAGGTTCAGTGTGCCTCTCATCATTCGGTGATCGCTGCTGGTTTTCACCCTCGCGATTACTGAGACATCACTGAATAGTTGTCGTCTGGTCGTCATAATGAAGTCAATCTCATTTTTGTCGAACCGTTGGGGCTCGACCAGGTCCACTTCCTGTGGGGCCACTTCTGGATTCCGATTTTCCCTATTTTCAGCTTACCGTTCTCTTTGTGCCTAGTTTTGAGCTTAAGTCTCCCATTAACACCGTATAGTGGGTTTTGAAGGAATGCATGGCTCTAGAGATATCCTCATACATTTTCTCCACCTCCTCCTCGGGGTGTGCCGAGGTTGGTGCGTAAACTTGTATGACTTTCAGCGAATATCGGTTGGTGATTCTGAGTATAAGCTACGCAACCCTCGTCGAAACACTGCCAATCTTCACAACGTTGTTAACGAGACTTGTGGACGATAATTCCGACACTTCCTTGGGACAGATGGTCGCTCTTCCGGTGATAGAATAAGTTGCCGGATTTGAGGATTATCGTATCCTCCCCCTCTCTTCGTACCTCGGATAATCCTATAATATTCCAGCGCAACTTGTTTATCTCTTTTTCCAACTCAAGGATCTTCTCGTCAGTCCTCAGGATGCGTGCGTTATAAGTTGCCAGGTCGAGAAGTCTTAGGTGGCATCCGAACCTCCATCGGAGATTCTTAGCACCCCCTGCCCCACCGTTACCATGGTCGCCACCTATACCTTAGCCAGAAATAGCGCGGCCGCCGGGGAATGGGGGCCGTCTCTTCGTAACGTTATTCATTGGCTGTATTTTCTAAGATCTTTGCCTGCCTTCATTGGCAAATATTATATTATAATTCGGTGTTTCACCTCGTGCCTCGGAAAACACGTAAAGCCGTTGGTCCTACGCCTGATCTCTCTCTGGTCGTGTCGTATTACCGTCCCATCGGACTATAAGAATGGGAAATAAAACAAAATCCTCCTGTCCTGCGCTGATTGCTAGTTTCATCAGTTTCCACATACACATTAATTTGTTTAAACGTGAAATAAAATAAAATCAGTTTTTAATTTTTTTTTTACTTCTCGTTCTGAGAATCCTAGGAATTCATTGTTTATATCGGCCTTTACGAAAACATCAAACGCGATGACTGACTGTATGTTCTTCTTAGGCTGTGACGCTATTATTATTATTAATTGGTTAATCGAAACAATAGCAACGTGAAGAATCCCTGCGCAGGTGTTGGTGCACGGCGAGCAGAACGAAATGTCGCGGCTGCGTGCGGCGCTGCAGCGCGAGCACCGCGGCCGCCTGCAGGTGCACACGCCGCGCAACACGCAGCAGCTCTCGCTCACCTTCCGCGGCGACAAGACCGCCAAGGTGCGCACGCACACACGCACACACACGCACACGTACCCTCACATACACACGCGCACGTACACTCACATACACAAGCACACGTACCCTCACATACACACGCACACGTACCCTCACATACACACGCGCACGTACACCTACATACACAAGCACACATACCCTCACATACACACGCACACGTACCCTCACATACACACGCGCACGTACACTCACATACACAAGCACACGTACCCTCACATACACACGCACACGTACCCTCACATACACACGCGCACGTACACTCACATACACACGCACACGTACCCTCACATACACACGCGCACGTACATTCAAATACACAGGCACACTTACCCTCACATACACACGCGCACGTACACTTACATAAACACGCACACGTACCCTCACATACACACGCGCACGTACACTCACATACACAAGCACACGTACCCTCACATACACACGCACACGTACCCTCACATATACACGCGCACGTACACTCACATACACAAGCACACGTACCCTCACATACACACGCACACGTACCCTCACATACACACGCGCACGTACACTCACATACACACGCACACGTACCCTCACATACACACGCGCACGTACACTCAAATACACAGGCACACTTACCCTCACATACACACGCGCACGTACACTTACATAAACACGCACACGTACCCTCACATACACACGCGCACGTACACTCACATACACACGCACACGTACCCTCACATACACACACACACACACACAACGTACACTCTTTTCCTTCCTTCTGCGGCAGTCGGATAAAATATAATGCAACAATTTTTGTTCAGGTGATGGGCTCACTGGCCATGGAACCACCAGTACCTGGCAGGGTTGTGCAAGGAATTTTAGTGAAGCGTAATTTTAATTATCACATCTTGGCACCATCAGATCTGAACAGTAAGTATTGATATGCTTAATATATCTGGGAGAAATAGTAGAATCGCGGGGACTTTCTTAAACCCACTATATTCAAAATAGTATTAGACAAAAGTTAAAAAAGGCCCTTTATAGCGAACGCTTTGTAACATAATTTAAAATAATAAAAAAATGTACAACCGACTTCAACATAAATTATTAAGAATAAGTCAAAAATCTTGACAACACAAAAATTATATGGGACCACATGAGAAGCACCAGCTTTCAAATAAAAAAGAATCATCGAAATCGGTTGACCCAGAAAACAGTTATGAGATAAACACATAAAAAAACATACAGTCGAATTGAGTACCGTCTCCTTTTGGAAGTCGGTAGAAAAAGTACAATAGACATGTTCCAGTTAAGATTGATGCCTCTTTTTTATAAATTCCATGTACCTATATACCAACCCTTACGCTTAATTGTAATCATTTTAATCATTTATCTCATAAAATTAAGTAGCATTCATTTAGATATAGTATTTATACTATTTAAAATTCCAGTGTTAATGCTATATATTGGGGGGGGGGGGGGGGGGGATAAGTAAGTTTGAGCATGTGATATAAACATGATTGTACGTGCTAGTGCCACGCTGCAGCTATATTATGGTTTTAGCACGAATGGTAGATGGTTACAAAGCCATCTCATCATCACATTCATCATTACAACCTTTCACAAGTCCACTGCCGAACATCGTCCTTCCCTAAGAAATCTCACAAAACACCGTCATGAATCACTTGCATCCATCGATTTCCTGATGTCTTACTATATACTTATTTTGCCTACTGGTACGAGATCCTTTCTTCCCCGTTCGTTTTCGATTCTTCGAGCTATATGGCCAGCTCATTGCCACTTTAGTTTACTAATCTGCTGGTAACCTGAGTTGGGAATGGTCAGCAGTAAAGTCGTGTTGTAGCTGTATTAATAGGCTGTAACGGATGGTGGATGATGATGATGGTTGCAAATGGCGATGTGACGCGGTAGTGGTGGTGACGTGTGATGTGCAGAGTACACGGAGCTGACGCAGTCAGAGGTGACGCAGCGGCAGGCGATCCACTTCGCGGGCGCGCCGGCGCTGCTGCGCCAGGCCGTGCTGCAGCTGGCCGGCGCCGTGGAGTTCCTCAGCGACACGCGCTGGCGCCTCTACGGCTGCGTCGACATGCTCGTCGAGCCGCCGCTCGTCACGCTAGAGGTGAGGGCCGGCTAGTGGGGAGGGGTAGCAGCCAGGCCGTGCTGCAGCTGGCCGGCGCCGTGGAGTTCCTCAGCGACACGCGCTGGCGCCTCTACGGCTGCGTCGACATGCTCGTCGAGCCGCCGCTCGTCACGCTAGAGGTGAGGGCCGGCTAGTGGGGAGGGGTAGCAGCCAGGCCGTGCTGCAGCTGGCCGGCGCCGTGGAGTTCCTCAGCGACACGCGCTGGCGCCTCTACGGCTGCGTCGACATGCTCGTCGAGCCGCCGCTCGTCACGCTAGAGGTGAGGGCCGGCTAGTGGGGAGGGGTAGCAGCCAGGCCGTGCTGCAGCTGGCCGGCGCCGTGGAGTTCCTCAGCGACACGCGCTGGCGCCTCTACGGCTGCGTCGACATGCTCGTCGAGCCGCCGCTCGTCACGCTAGAGGTGAGGGCCGGCTAGTGGGGAGGGGTAGCAGCCAGGCCGTGCTGCAGCTGGCCGGCGCCGTGGAGTTCCTCAGCGACACGCGCTGGCGCCTCTACGGCTGCGTCGACATGCTCGTCGAGCCGCCGCTCGTCACGCTAGAGGTGAGGGCCGGCTAGTGGGGAGGGGTAGCAGCCAGGCCGTGCTGCAGCTGGCCGGCGCCGTGGAGTTCCTCAGCGACACGCGCTGGCGCCTCTACGGCTGCGTCGACATGCTCGTCGAGCCGCCGCTCGTCACGCTAGAGGTGAGGGCCGGCTAGTGGGGAGGGGTAGCAGCCAGGCCGTGCTGCAGCTGGCCGGCGCCGTGGAGTTCCTCAGCGACACGCGCTGGCGCCTCTACGGCTGCGTCGACATGCTCGTCGAGCCGCCGCTCGTCACGCTAGAGGTGAGGGCCGGCTAGTGGGGAGGGGTAGCAGCCAGGCCGTGCTGCAGCTGGCCGGCGCCGTGGAGTTCCTCAGCGACACGCGCTGGCGCCTCTACGGCTGCGTCGACATGCTCGTCGAGCCGCCGCTCGTCACGCTAGAGGTGAGGGCCGGCTAGTGGGGAGGGGTAGCAGCCAGGCCGTGCTGCAGCTGGCCGGCGCCGTGGAGTTCCTCAGCGACACGCGCTGGCGCCTCTACGGCTGCGTCGACATGCTCGTCGAGCCGCCGCTCGTCACGCTAGAGGTGAGGGCCGGCAAGTGGGGAGGGGTAGCAGCCAGGCCGTGCTGCAGCTGGCCGGCGCCGTGGAGTTCCTCAGCGACACGCGCTGGCGCCTCTACGGCTGCGTCGACATGCTCGTCGAGCCGCCGCTCGTCACGCTAGAGGTGAGGGCCGGCTAGTGGGGAGGGGTAGCAGCCAGGCCGTGCTGCAGCTGGCCGGCGCCGTGGAGTTCCTCAGCGACACGCGCTGGCGCCTCTACGGCTGCGTCGACATGCTCGTCGAGCCGCCGCTCGTCACGCTAGAGGTGAGGGCCGGCTAGTGGGGAGGGGTAGCAGCCAGGCCGTGCTGCAGCTGGCCGGCGCCGTGGAGTTCCTCAGCGACACGCGCTGGCGCCTCTACGGCTGCGTCGACATGCTCGTCGAGCCGCCGCTCGTCACGCTAGAGGTGAGGGCCGGCTAGTGGGGAGGGGTAGCAGTCAGGCCGTGCTGCAGCTGGCCGGCGCCGTGGAGTTCCTCAGCGACACGCGCTGGCGCCTCTACGGCTGCGTCGACATGCTCGTCGAGCCGCCGCTCGTCACGCTAGAGGTGAGGGCCGGCTAGTGGGGAGGGGTAGCAGCCAGGCCGTGCTGCAGCTGGCCGGCGCCGTGGAGTTCCTCAGCGACACGCGCTGGCGCCTCTACGGCTGCGTCGACATGCTCGTCGAGCCGCCGCTCGTCACGCTAGAGGTGAGGGCCGGCTAGTGGGGAGGGGTAGCAGCCAGGCCGTGCTGCAGCTGGCCGGCGCCGTGGAGTTCCTCAGCGACACGCGCTGGCGCCTCTACGGCTGCGTCGACATGCTCGTCGAGCCGCCGCTCGTCACGCTAGAGGTGAGGGCCGGCTAGTGGGGAGGGGTAGCAGCCAGGCCGTGCTGCAGCTGGCCGGCGCCGTGGAGTTCCTCAGCGACACGCGCTGGCGCCTCTACGGCTGCGTCGACATGCTCGTCGAGCCGCCGCTCGTCACGCTAGAGGTGAGGGCCGGCTAGTGGGGAGGGGTAGCAGCCAGGCCGTGCTGCAGCTGGCCGGCGCCGTGGAGTTCCTCAGCGACACGCGCTGGCGCCTCTACGGCTGCGTCGACATGCTCGTCGAGCCGCCGCTCGTCACGCTAGAGGTGAGGGCCGGCTAGTGGGGAGGGGTAGCAGCCAGGCCGTGCTGCAGCTGGCCGGCGCCGTGGAGTTCCTCAGCGACACGCGCTGGCGCCTCTACGGCTGCGTCGACATGCTCGTCGAGCCGCCGCTCGTCACGCTAGAGGTGAGGGCCGGCTAGTGGGGAGGGGTAGCAGCCAGGCCGTGCTGCAGCTGGCCGGCGCCGTGGAGTTCCTCAGCGACACGCGCTGGCGCCTCTACGGCTGCGTCGACATGCTCGTCGAGCCGCCGCTCGTCACGCTAGAGGTGAGGGCCGGCTAGTGGGGAGGGGTAGCAGCCAGGCCGTGCTGCAGCTGGCCGGCGCCGTGGAGTTCCTCAGCGACACGCGCTGGCGCCTCTACGGCTGCGTCGACATGCTCGTCGAGCCGCCGCTCGTCACGCTAGAGGTGAGGGCCGGCTAGTGGGGAGGGGTAGCAGCCAGGCCGTGCTGCAGCTGGCCGGCGCCGTGGAGTTCCTCAGCGACACGCGCTGGCGCCTCTACGGCTGCGTCGATATGCTCGTCGAGCCGCCGCTCGTCACGCTAGAGGTGAGGGCCGGCTAGTGGGGAGGGGTAGCAGCCAGGCCGTGCTGCAGCTGGCCGGCGCCGTGGAGTTCCTCAGCGACACGCGCTGGCGCCTCTACGGCTGCGTCGACATGCTCGTCGAGCCGCCGCTCGTCACGCTAGAGGTGAGGGCCGGCTAGTGGGGAGGGGTAGCAGCCAGGCCGTGCTGCAGCTGGCCGGCGCCGTGGAGTTCCTCAGCGACACGCGCTGGCGCCTCTACGGCTGCGTCGACATGCTCGTCGAGCCGCCGCTCGTCACGCTAGAGGTGAGGGCCGGCTAGTGGGGAGGGGTAGCAGCCAGGCCGTGCTGCAGCTGGCCGGCGCCGTGGAGTTCCTCAGCGACACGCGCTGGCGCCTCTACGGCTGCGTCGACATGCTCGTCGAGCCGCCGCTCGTCACGCTAGAGGTGAGGGCCGGCTAGTGGGGAGGGGTAGCAGCCAGGCCGTGCTGCAGCTGGCCGGCGCCGTGGAGTTCCTCAGCGACACGCGCTGGCGCCTCTACGGCTGCGTCGACATGCTCGTCGAGCCGCCGCTCGTCACGCTAGAGGTGAGGGCCGGCAAGTGGGGAGGGGTAGCAGCCAGGCCGTGCTGCAGCTGGCCGGCGCCGTGGAGTTCCTCAGCGACACGCGCTGGCGCCTCTACGGCTGCGTCGACATGCTCGTCGAGCCGCCGCTCGTCACGCTAGAGGTGAGGGCCGGCTAGTGGGGAGGGGTAGCAGCCAGGCCGTGCTGCAGCTGGCCGGCGCCGTGGAGTTCCTCAGCGACACGCGCTGGCGCCTCTACGGCTGCGTCGACATGCTCGTCGAGCCGCCGCTCGTCACGCTAGAGGTGAGGGCCGGCTAGTGGGGAGGGGTAGCAGCCAGGCCGTGCTGCAGCTGGCCGGCGCCGTGGAGTTCCTCAGCGACACGCGCTGGCGCCTCTACGGCTGCGTCGACATGCTCGTCGAGCCGCCGCTCGTCACGCTAGAGGTGAGGGCCGGCTAGTGGGGAGGGGTAGCAGCCAGGCCGTGCTGCAGCTGGCCGGCGCCGTGGAGTTCCTCAGCGACACGCGCTGGCGCCTCTACGGCTGCGTCGACATGCTCGTCGAGCCGCCGCTCGTCACGCTAGAGGTGAGGGCCGGCTAGTGGGGAGGGGTAGCAGCCAGGCCGTGCTGCAGCTGGCCGGCGCCGTGGAGTTCCTCAGCGACACGCGCTGGCGCCTCTACGGCTGCGTCGACATGCTCGTCGAGCCGCCGCTCGTCACGCTAGAGGTGAGGGCCGGCTAGTGGGGAGGGGTAGCAGCCAGGCCGTGCTGCAGCTGGCCGGCGCCGTGGAGTTCCTCAGCGACACGCGCTGGCGCCTCTACGGCTGCGTCGACATGCTCGTCGAGCCGCCGCTCGTCACGCTAGAGGTGAGGGCCGGCTAGTGGGGAGGGGTAGCAGCCAGGCCGTGCTGCAGCTGGCCGGCGCCGTGGAGTTCCTCAGCGACACGCGCTGGCGCCTCTACGGCTGCGTCGACATGCTCGTCGAGCCGCCGCTCGTCACGCTAGAGGTGAGGGCCGGCTAGTGGGGAGGGGTAGCAGCCAGGCCGTGCTGCAGCTGGCCGGCGCCGTGGAGTTCCTCAGCGACACGCGCTGGCGCCTCTACGGCTGCGTCGACATGCTCGTCGAGCCGCCGCTCGTCACGCTAGAGGTGAGGGCCGGCTAGTGGGGAGGGGTAGCAGCCAGGCCGTTATAAATATTACATAAAACGCTTTTAAACTTTATGCAATTTAAAGATATTATGTTTTCTCTGCAATATGTTGATGCGTCATATTGCGAGTAATAAGGGATATTTTGAAGGTAGTTTTAGTCAGCAGGCATTTGATGAAGTTAATATCTAAAATCTTCTAAATTACGATCAAGCACTTGTAACATTGTATCCACTAAAAGTTGACATATAATACAAAATGGCACTACATTACTATCTTAAACCATTATTAAGACCGTAGAGACACAACTTAAAGAGCATAATAGAGGAGTGGTAAGATTCAGGTGTTTTATTACTGTATTTTTGTAAACGTACAGTGGCAGGCGCAACCAGTGACAGACATGTTCGCGGACGCGGTAGCGGCCAGCGTGCTGGCGGCCGCCGCGCTTCCCGCGCCCCGTGCGCCCCCGCTCGCGCCCAAGCTCGACCGCATGCACTTCAAGGTAGACACACACACACACACACACGCACGCACATGCACACGCACACGCCCACGCCCACGCATACGCACACATGCACACACGTACGTACACACACACACACACACGCACGCACATGCACACGCACACGCCCACGCCCACGCATACGCACACATGTACACACGTACGTACACACACACACACACACACACACACACACACACACACACACGCACATGCACACGCACACGCATACGCCCACGCATACGCACACATGTACACACGTACGTACACACATACACACACACACACACACACGCACCCCGGAAACGACATGTGAATTTAAATAAAAAAGGTCCTCCACCCATTTCCTTCATTTTTAAAATTTTTAACACCATGCATGTACGTCATTTTTCTATTTTGTTACAACATGTATGTGCGTAATTTTTCTATTTTGTTACAACATGTATGTAAGTCATTTTATATTTATATGTAAAATACGTCATTTTACTATTTTCTATCATCATGTATGTACCTCATTTTTCTATTTTCTATCAACATGTATACAAGTCATTTTTATAATTTGTGACAGCATGAACATATTATGTACGTTATTTTACCATTTCGTTACATCATGTGTGTACGTTATTAAATAGTAAAGTCACAAATCGACGGTACGAGGAAACCCTTGTAAGGTTATTTTGTGCCGTCAGATGTTATTTTATGACAAAATTTTTAAAAATAAACAAATATATTATATGGGCTTAAAATAACAGCCTGGATATTTTCATCTCCATTTTTCTTTCTTTAAGGAGTGCGCGATCGAGATGCTACAGGAAATGTTCGGTGAAGATTCAGTACCAAAGATGTTCAAAGGAGACAAATTGTGCGTCACAGTGAATGACAAAAAGGTTGATATCGACCTGCTTACGTTGGTAAGTGAATTAAAGTTGAAACTTATTGAGATATATTTTTAAGAGGCTTTCCTAAACAACTGGATACATGTAGGCCTTTTATAGAATACGCTAACTTTATTATATAACAACATTTATAAGCTGTAATAAAATTAATAATTAGAGTAACTTAGTACGCAAAGTATTAGTACTGTAATGCCTATCTCGTAGTAGTTTTTTTTTTAATTATTTAATAGCGGGGAAGTTATTTTGTTAGGAAATTTTAAGGTTTCATGTTCTTTTATGTAATATTAGTTATATTTTTATATTAATAAGATTAGAAATAAATAAATCAAACTAGGGATATTCCTAAAAGTAGAAAAATTATAAAGAGTTTTAAGGCATTGGTTCGTGTATTGATATAATTAATACTCTAGAAACTAATAAAATTTTATTTAAAATGTTGAAAAGTTACGTTAATAAATGACATTGTGTACCAAAAACCACCAAAGTCCCAACTATTTGACTAGTAACTATTCTTAGCCCTAATTGCTTGTACAGCACTTTGTACTACAGTGGAATCTCAAGAACTCAAACCTCGTTAAGTCAGTAATACTCAGTAAGACGAAAAACATTGCCACGTGTTACTATACGTGGTATCTCGGATTATTTAGCCTTCGTAACCCAAACAAAATGTCATTTCCCTGCGATTAATAGTACATAGTCCATAACTCGAATTTCAAAAGCAGATAAAGATTCAGTCACACATAGCGAATATTCGCTGCGAGTGTATTCGCTGCGAGTATTACTTGCAGCGACAATTCGCTGCTTGCCTGTCATACACATCGAGTACTAGACGAGAATTATCTAGAATATGTGTTTTTTATATTCTTCAATTTGCTTTTCAATTGTTCTTGGGTTGCTATTTCGAATGCCAACTCAATTAATTCGTTAAACAATCGTCTGCCTTTGCGTTTTTTTTTAACCTTCAAGCGGGCGCGCGGTCATTTGTGACGGCAGCGGTCGCGCGTAACCTATAAGACCTATGCAATATGTCAGGGATTTAAATAACTAATTAATTTATAATATTTTATTTTCTTGTATTCATACTCATAATCATTATATAAGGACACAATATGTGGAAAAAATCTTAAAATAATGTTAAAATCGGATAAAAAATTAAGTACTTATAAAATCTAAAAATTTTCTTTGGATCAGTTATGTCTTCGATTACCTTCTTTTTGCTGGACATATTGCAGCTTGATCTGCATGTGCTGGAGCTACTACTTGGCTTGCTTGTTTTATTATCAGTGTCTTCAACACTCATATTCAAATGTTCTCTTATATTACTTTTGAGATTTTTTGGAAAGTTACCATCATAACACCTCTTTGAACATATTCTTTTGTTAGTTCAATTCCTAATTAACGTAATACTTTCGTCTTTTCTGTATAACCACTTTGTTTGCCCTCGATATTACTATGGCATTAATTCCAGCAATTTTCAGAAGACGAAAGAAGAGTGGCAATGGCCAGCTATTATTCTTTCTTGACGTCGAAAAAAAAGTGAAGATGTATTCAACATCTTCACTTTTATTTATCAACTTTATCGACACCACTTTTTGTTTTATTGTAAAAAGTTATGATGCTTAGCTTACGATTTTCATGATTTACTCTCTTCGTCTAATAGTTTCGCACTGCAGTTGTGTGTATTTAAAAAAAACCCACAATTACAATCATAATTCGATGATATTTGTTGATATTCATAAAATAATACCTTGGGTTTAGCCAATATCAATGGGTTTAGCGCCGCACGTAGCCTTTTCGAAACGGGGCACGTGGCGTGCTTTCGACGCCTGCCCCGCGAGGCAAAGAAATTCGATCTGTGCGTTCGGAGGACGCGGAGAAGAGTGGTAAACTGTTTATTTCGTGCATAGTGAAACAATGACAGGGTACTAAGGATGGGAAATATATGCGACGAGAAAAAACAATATTATAAACGAAAATGACTCTACTCGACGCTGCGCGACCGCTTGAAGGTTGTTCGCGCCAAACGCTAATTTCAGGAACTAACGCGAGAGGGCGCGCGGCTCGGTGCCATACCGGTTTTGACGTCGGTCGAGCGGTGGGTGTTGAGAACGCGTAAAGGCGAAAGCCAGTCGCCTGCCAGCTGTGCTAACGCCAGCACGCTGTCAATTTTTGTTCGGGAACTTGGAATAATTAGGCGCGGCCAGTAAATATACGGTCTAGGATTTGTGACGCGCATTCCTTGCTGGAGAGCTTCCCAGGGACTCATTGTGTCTGACTCAGAATCTGCATAAGTGCATTCGACAATATTAGCTAGTGCGGCCTTTGATATTCTAGAAATAACTGTGGCTACGCGAAACGGTAGTGACCTTTGATCCGGACACTCCGTGTTCGTTTTGTGCGTTAACCTTATAACAAACGAGAGTTAGTGGCTTCTGTAAGTTAGTTAATAGTATGATAGAGTTAATGGACTGTCATCGTGAAGAACAAAGAAAGTGACTGTGGACGGCGCCGCGGAAGATCACCTCATTTTGGAGCAGCCTGGAACTCGGCCGCTGATGGTCGCCTATGCTTGCCAAGGCCCCACACATTCACACCTCACTGTACACTACTCGCCATCCACTATTACACACACTCACGGCCTGCCCAAGCCTTGGTGCGAAGTTAGCTTCCGGTAATGGTAAGTACTATGTGTTTCTAGCTTCCTCCCATATAGTTTATTGTGATAGGAAATTCCAACGCTCCCCCTTATTGTTTAGTGTAACTAGAGATTTTCCACGTGGCCATATTCTGGCCCCGTCCCTCTGCTGCTCGTCGATGAGATTACTCATGGGCCCTAATCCCGTCATCCTTGTTTGGGGCAGCTAGGGGCGTGTACATACTGGTAGCAGAGCGTGGTTCCGGGTTCGATTCCCCGGTCGATCCCGACCATAGTGTCTGATAAAAATTAAACAATTCTGGTGGCAGGGAGCGTTGGTTTGATTGGTTTAATTTGTATCTACAATCACGCCCGTCAGTAATACGTAAAAATATTTTTTTGTACGTAATAATAAAATTATTTTCCTTTGTTGCTTGCTTATTTGGTTAGCGGGTAGATTTGAAAGCCGCGCCCTTTTTGTGCGCAAGCGGTTTTGCATTTTGCGCAGCAAGTTTGTCTAGAGGTATACGTCATGTAGGTAGATGGATATTATCACGTAATCGGTTAATTATCGTTGTCGGATAGTTGTAGTGGATTGCTTATCGAAGGGTCGATTTCCGAGCTAGGCATTTTTTGTTGATCGGCCGTGAGTATCTTCGTTTGTATTGTAATTTGTATTTGAACTAAAGAGTAGTAATTGTATTTGCGCAATTTTAATTTAACTTGATTTGATCGCACTAGTATTTGTTATTTGTTAATTTGATTTGTGTCTTTTCTTTTGTGCTAACTTGTATTTGGTTGATACGTAGTAATTCGTATTTGTGTAATTTCTATTCAACTCGATTTGATAGGAACTGCATTTATTAACTGTAAATTTTTTGTTGTATTTTTTATTTGTTATCTTTGTAATTTGTGCTCGAGCCGCGTCGTAATTTTTATTTAGTAGTGATGTCATCGCCCAAGCTACTAATCCGTTGCCTGCGGACTGAGTTACGCTATGCCACAAGCGCCCATGCTTTGATAGGTCGACCGGATAGGGTCCATAACTTGATGAAGCGGTTCGAGCAGGTCGATGCTCGAAGGGCCGCAGTGGAGGAGGCTTACGCTGAGCTCGAGGATTCGGATGTGGAAAAGGGAGTCCCGGACTCCTGCTTCGCGGACTACGAGCAGTTCTTTTCGCTCACGGACGAGTTGATCGAGGCTGAAGGTAGGTATGCCGAGGAGGCGCGTGAAGCTCAGATGAGTGGCCTGCCCGAGTCCTCTCGGAAGCAGCTTCAGCCGAAGCTGTTGGAACGGCTCCCAACTCTGGACCTGCCAAGGTTCTCCGGGGTCCTTTCCGAATGGCTGACCTTCATTGGTCTTTTCGACAGCCTAGTGGACGCCCGGAGTGACTTGATCCCGAGCCAAAAGATGGCGTACCTCCTGGCCTCACTGGAAGGGGAGGCCCTGGGCGTCGTCGGCCATTTGAGATTGTCAGACGACGCCTACCGGACGGCTCGGGACCTCCTAGCCAGAAGATACGCCAACGTGCGGCGAATTGCGGACGAACATGTTAAGCAGCTTCTAAGCCTCCCGCTGCTTAGTGACCGGGCCAGACTACGTCCGGACCTGTTGGATCCAGTCCTGGTGGCCTGTAATACGTTGAGGCGCCTGGATTTACCAGTGGGCGAATGGGCCTTTTTGTTGCTCCGAATCGTGCTGTCCCGTCTACCTCTCGACCTTCGAATCCATTTTGAGGAGAGGTACGGCGGGGACGAGGCCTCCTACATTCCGCCCTTCTATGATCTACTGCGGTTTTTGGAGGAGCAGTGCCGGCAGATCGAGAACGCGACGGGCACCGTTGACGATTTACGAGCCGTGCCCAGTGAGAGGCTGAATCCGCCAGGCAAGTCGTCATCAACCCCCCCTCTGCTCCTATTGTCGAGCATCTGATCACCGGGTAACATCGTGCCCGAAATTATTAGGTAAGCCGGTTCCGGCGAGGCGAACTATCGCCAAGGAGCGCCGCTGGTGCTGCTCATGTTTGGAACGGCACCTCCAGCGAGACTGTCCGCATCGGCGGCCCTGTCTGCATTGCCAGGGCAATCACCATGCAGTTTTGTGCCTGGGTGCGAACGGCGTCTCCTCTCGGGGCTCTGCCAGGCCCTCGACCCCCACGGGCGGGGGCGCTCAGCCACGCCCTCTGACGGGCGACTCTCGGCGCCCGCCGGTCAGCCACCAGGCCCCTAGGTTTGAATGGGGTCCCTCCCCCGACCAGTCGGGGGGTAATTCCCCCAGGGGCGGGGGCGTCATCAACCCCCTTCAGCGTGTGGAGAGGAACTTCACGGCCACTCATCGGTCCGCTGGACCCTTCTCACTCCCGTTAGCTGAGTGGCCGCGACTGGTGTACCACTGTTCCCCATTTGATGGAGGTGGCCCTGGCTAGCTGCCGCCTTAGCTCCCACCACGGCCGCCTCCACTGAGCCTTAAGCCGTCAACAGTCCACTTGTCAAAATGTTCTGTTGCCGACGGGCTCAGTGCAGGCGTACAACCCGAGTGGCGACTGTTAGCGGTTCGCGCTCTATTGGTCTCGGGTTCACGCCGTGTGGCCTCCACTTGGTGGTGGGAAGATTAGGGCCCCCCTGGAGCGTGGAATCACGCTGTCAAGTATTAGATTGGTTTGGTCGAGCACTTAGTTAAAAATTCTTTAAATTAAAATTAAAAATGCTTTTGGGTTTTTCGCGAAATTTCCATATTTGTAGCGGTTGTGATTAATAGAATTGAATTTAATCTACTCCTTTAAATGGTGCTGCATATGTTTTGTAAATATATTTAATCACTGTGTTTGTTACTGCACGGAAAATTGAAATTGAATTATGTGCCCTTTTGAATGCTTGTGCGTATGCTTTGTAACAGTATTTGGTTGTTGCGCCTGGTTGCTGAAAAGAAAGTTTGAATTCATTTGAAATTGAATGTTGCGCTATTTGGAAAATTATGTATATGTTTTGTGATAGTGTTTAATCATTTTGCTTTGTGAAAGGGAAGGCTGAAATTAGATAACCCTATTTGTGCCGAAGTAAATAAAAGTCAATTCTCCTTTGGTTTACATTTGGTTGGCACTGTCTAAGTTATTTAGATGAGAAGTAGGGCTGTCCCTTACGTTTATTGTTTTGTTTAATTTGCAAGTTGACCTATGTGCATCGGTGATTAATTTGTTTGAATTAATTCTATAGTTGGACATTGATGCTTTGAAAAATTAGTTGAAATATGAGCATAGGGCTACTTGTCTAACAGGCTGGCTAGTTTGTAGATTATCAGATGGAAATCAGCTGTCGCACCATTTGGTAAATGATTATAATTATGGTGGATGGCTTGGCTATGCCTACTTGTTTGAAAATTCATACTAGGGACTATCTGTGCGTTCGTTCGGCTCTCCACAGACGACGTTCATGGGGAATTTGGGGGTGCTCTCTGTACTGAAGCTTAGGAGGTCACTCTGGGCCGCTTCGTGTCGCGTCGCTGTTTGCAGACCTGATCCGGTCGGATTGCGGAACTAATCATAAGAGCACAGATAGGTGTTTGAAGGAGGTCGTCGGACTTCTGTCTCGGAATAGGACTTATTAATGGGCTGCGATGTCGAGGAAGGGCATCCAGTTCAACCCTCCGGCTTGCCTACGTTGGGGCTGTAATTTTGAGGCGTTGGTTAGGGTTGCAAGATCTGATGGGGTGACTAAGGTGGCCTAGTTTTGGTGTAGATTCGGTCTTGCAACGTGCCGTCGCGACCCTGTCCCGCTTGCCGGTTTGCTCGCGGACATAGGTCCTTATGTCCGGGACGGGGGTTTGTTCGCGCCAAACGCTAATTTCAGGAACTAACGTGAGAGGGCGCGCGGCTCGGTGCCATACCGGTTTTGATGTTGGTGGAGCGTTGGGTGTTGAGAACGCGTAAAGGCGAAAGCCAGTCGCCTGCCAGCTGTGCTAACGCCAGCACGCTGTCAATTTTTGTTCGAGAACTCGGAATAATTAGGCCAGTAAATATACGGTCTAGGATTTGTGACGCGCATTCCTTGCTGGAGAGCTACCCAGGGACTCATTGTGTCTGACTTAGAATCTGCATAAGTGCATTCGACAATATTAGCTAGTGCGGCCTTTGATATTCTAGAAATAACTGTTGCTACGCGAAACGGTAGTGACCTTTGATCCGGACACTCCGTGTTCGTTTTGTGCGTTAACCTTATAACAAACGAGAGTTAGTGGCTTCTGTAAGTTAGTTAATAGTACGATAGAGTTAATGGACTGTCATCGTGACGAACGAAGAAAGTGACTGTGGACGGCGCCGCGGAAGATCACCTCATTTTGGAGCAGCCTGGAACTCGGCCGCTGATGGTCGCCTATGCTTGCCAAGGCCCCACACATTCACACCTCACTGTACACTACTCGCCATCCACTATTACACACACTCACGGCCTGCCCAAGCCTTGGTGCGAAGTTAGCTTCGGATAATGGTTCTAGCTTCCTCCCATATAGTTTATTGTGATAGGAAATTCCAACGCTCCCCCTTATTGTTTAGTGTAACTAGAGATTTTCCACGTGGCCATATTCTGGCCCCGTCCCTCTGCTGCTCGTCGATGAGATTACTCATGGGCCCTAATCCCGTCATCCTTGGTTGGGGCAGCTAGGGGCGTGTACAAAGGTTAATTACTGTTATACCCAAAATCCACACCCAAGAAACGAATTATTTCGTAATTTTCCCATTTTAGAGAATCTTTTATCGGTAGACTCATTTGATTGACCTACACACACGTCTCATGCAGCAACGAAATGACCTATGCACAGGCGTATAGTCTGGAGTAGCGCGCTGAGCGGAATGGCTACTCGCAGCAAGTACCCTGCCACACAAGGCGAATTCTTGCAGCGAGTTCTCATTCGCAGAGAGTAAAATTGAACATGTTAAATTCAATTCGCAGCGAATTCAACTCGCGGCGAATGAATCTATTCGCAGCGAATAGTCTGTCACACACAGTGAATTCTAGCTTCGACTGCCTAATCGCAGCGAGTATTCGCAGTGTGTGACCGAGGCTTTAGACGAAGTTAAATACAATGAAGTATTTAACTTCTAATCCACTAAATATAGCACTAAAATCTAAAAGGTGAATATATGTTGCTCCTGTTTTATTGTGTGTACTTTGTACACGTGCCATGAATGAATACATTCATTAAAAGTTTTTAAGTGCCACTAAAAAGTTGTGACAAAACCATATCTTCGATTGAGAATCAAAATGCAGATGCTAGTAAAAAGGGTTTAATTTTGTATATATTTGTAATGTTATGTAAATAAATGTTATTTGATTTTGAATTTGGAATGCACTTGCGGCGGGTGTGTGTATACTGTACACCGAGGTGTTTTGTGGTGTTCGCAGGAGGCGGTGTGCAGCGCGGACGCGGCGCTGGAGCGGACGGCGGCCAGCGCGGTGGCGCGCCTGCACGCCGCGCTGGCGCCGCCCCGCGCGCCGCACCTCGCGCCCCCGCACCCGCCCGCCAGCACGCACACCTAGCTCACACAGCTATGTGTCTAACTATGTGTATAGTTACAACTACAATAATGTTAAAATAAATATATTTACATAAAAATTTGACTTTTATTGGAACCTCCCCGCGCCCACCACACATGCACACCCACACTCACACTACCCAACTAACATAAACACAACTTTAACACTATGTGTAGTTATGAAGAAAATGTTGAAATAAATATATTTCTATAACAATTTGTGTATCATTTGACGTAGATAGTATAACCTTAATATCATTGTTCGCGCCAAACGCTGTTGTCGGAATCGACGTCTAGGGGGCGCGCCATACCGGTTTGACAGTTGGATGTGTCGAGCGCGCGCGAGTGCAGTCAGTCGTCTGCCAGCTGTGCTTGGGACCGCACGCTGTCATTTTTGTCGGGAACTCGGAATAATTAGGCGCGGCCAGTAAATATACGGTCTAGGATTTGTGACGCGTATTCCTTGCTGTAGAGCTTCCCCGGGACTCATTGGGTTTGACTTGGAATCTGTATAGGTGCATTCGACAATATTATCTAGTGCGGCCTATGATATTCTAGAAATAACTGTTGCTACGCGAAACGGTAGTGATCTTTGATCCGGACACTCCGTGTTTTTTTTGTGCGTTAACCTTATAACAAACGAAAGTTAGTGGCTTCTGTAAGTTAGTTAATAGTACGATAGAGTTAATGGACTGTCATCGTGATGAACGAAGAAGTGGTCCGGCGCCGAAGCAGTCTGAAGCGGTGCAGCATTTTGGAGCAGCCTGGAACTCGGCCGCTGCTGGTCGCCTATGCTTGACAAGGCCCCACACATTCACACCCCTCTGTACACTACTCGCCATCCACTATTACACACACTCACGGCCTGCCCAAGCCTTGATGCGAAGTTAGCTTCGGATAATGGTAAGTACTACGTGTTTCTAGCTTCCTCCCATATTGTTTATTGTAATTAGGAAATTCCACGTGGCCCCGTCCCTCTGCTGCTCGTCGATGGGATTACTCATGGGCCCTAATCCCGTCATCCTTGATTGGGGCAGCTAGGGGCGTGTACAATCATCATTATTACATCCCTTCACAAGTTCACTACTGAGCATAGGCCTCCCCCAAGGAATGCTACAAAGGTGGTTCAGAACCGCAGAAGAATCAATGGATTTCCTGCATGTCTTACAAGGTCGTCCCTTCATCTAGAGGAGGTGGGTGGGGGGGGGGGGGGGGAGGGCGCCCTAGCCCTACCTGTACGAGGCTACCACTCGAAAGCTTTTTTGTTAGAAAAAAACATAAGTTGTCGGTTCTTCGAGCTATATGGCCGGCCCATTACCTATTCAGTTTACATAATGATTTCTTATATTTACGCGAACACTATACATTTAAATAAAACTAATTTGACGGATTGTATCGCGTATATGAACTTATTTTATATTCCCGACGTTCCGAGCACTTTACAGCACCCATGGTCACGAGGGGGACTGAGGTGTATAACGTCCCAATGTCATAGTTAACCACGGCTAGCTCCAGATTAAAAATTATTAATTTTTGTTCCGATCTACGCAGTATCAACTTACAGTATCTTGAACTCTTACAGATGTATGCTTGGGTTGGTATTTAATTTTATTAATTATGAGATTCCAAGCAGATGATACCACTCTGCCATCTTCTCTATTGATATTAGAATGTTTTTAGAGTTCCGTGCCTCAAAAGGAAAAAACGGAACCCTTATAGAATCACTTTGTTCTCCGTCTGTCTGTCTGTCTGTCTTTCACGACGCTTTTTCTCAGGAACGCGTGGAGGGTGGAGGTATCAAGCTGAAATTCATATCAAGTACTCAAGTCTAATGTCCCTTGGAGCTGTGAGAAAATCAAACTTCTAAGCCAACACATCAAAAGATACAGTCGTTTATGCCGCAAATATTATGCCGCAAGGGAATCAAAACCTAAAGGGTACTTCCCGTGAACTCAGAATCTTAAAATTTGGTACGAAGCAACGTACAGATACAACGTACAACGTACAACAGATAACGAAAAAATTGCGAAACGCATAAATTTTTAGTTACATCATATAATAAAAATATTTTTAATAATTTTAACCTACGGATTTGTTCGGAACCCTCGGTTCGCGAGTCCGACTCGCACTTGGCCGGTTTTTTGATTTCAATAGCCTCGCGAATCATCTTAGGAAAGAATCGGTGTTCTTAAGCGAGAATTTGAGGTCTATCAAATCTAATGTAGTAACGGGGGCGATCCTGTACGTATTTCACAGACTGCAGACTTCCTGGAGCGTCGATTCTTCACATCAGCTATGTGTTTTTTGACGCGGGTTTTTATGGATCTTTTGGTTTGTCCTATATAAGACAGACCACATTCACAATCAAGCTTGTACACTCCTGCATCTTGCAGAGGGACATTACACTTGACTGATGGTAAAAACTGACTAATCTTCTTCGGCGGCTTGAAGTATGTTTTAATGGAAGCACGCTTCAAGATGTAGCCAATCTTGTCAGTGACACCTGTGACATATGACAGTACAGCAGGCACTCGCTCGATTGTGGCCGGCTTCACTCTTTCACTGTGACGTAGGCGCGGGTCCCGAAGCTTATTGTCGTGCAAAAATTTGCTTGACTTGAGCTTGGCGGCCATGTGTTTACTGTCCACAGATCCCTCTTGCTCTCTGAAACAAAGATTTACCCACGGTAGCTAACTGTGAAGGATAGTGATGAGAATCACCGTTTAAATATCTTTCTGTATGGGTCTTAATTCTATACACAGTGTGGCTCAAGGTGTTATCAGGATCCGAATTACAAACACATCTAGAAAAGCTAAAAAATTGTTTGACTCTAACTCCATTGTGAACTGAATTTTAGAATTTATGGAATTAAGATGGACTAAAAATGCAGTTACTTTATCTAAAGGTAGAATTGTGAAAGTGTCGCCTACGTACCGCTTGTAGTATCTTAGGTTTACGGGAGAAGTAAGCAAGTCTCCTCAAAGTCTTCCATGAATATATCGGCGACAATGGGCGATACAGGTGAGCCCATCGCCACGCCATCTACTTGCTTGTAGAACTCTTCCTTCCACAATAGGTAGCCGGATGTAAGGCAGTGTCTGAGTAATACTGCATATTCTACGGGCATGTTGTTTTCCTCCAGCCTTCTAGTAACAATCGAGATGCAGTCTTCAACAGGTAAGCATGTGAACAAAGACTGCACATCAAAACTGACCATAGTTTCATTGTCTGCCAGATGTAGGTCTTTAATCTCGCTGATAAAATGGTAGGAATCCTTTGTGTGTGCTCTTGTATGTCCCTTGAGCGGTGAGAGTGTTTTCGCTAAGTGTTGAGCCAATCTGTAAGTTGGTGAATCGATTTGGCTCACTATGGGACGTAGTGGAGCATTGGGCTTGTGTAATTTTGGTAACCCATACAACTACAACCACAACTACAACCCATACAAACCACCGAGTTTGGCACACTTAAAACAATTAGTGACCTCATAAAGAAACACTCAGAAAAATTAAATCTAGACGTAAAATCGATAATACCAACGTGTGTGTATATGACATTGTGTAACAAATAACTTCACTTCAGTGTCAACTAGCGACATTTGGTGAGTGGAAGATTATTAGCCCTCATTGAGGGAGGGCGAGAGGTGCTCTTAAAACTAGATAAGCATAAAAAAGTTTATTTAAAAAAAGGCATTTAATGTGATCCCCGTAACAGTCAGTGTGTAATCTGTAAACATGTTAAAGATCGTCCCCGCCACACAAATTACACGCCTTTGTTAAGGCCGTTCCTACTGTAGGGTTAGTAGTTGTGAGAAAACAAATTGAATCCTTTGATATTAGTTGGTAGAAGAATACACTGAGGTGTTATGCAATATATTAGTAATTTTCTGAAAATAAGAACATTAATTGTTCAACGTGAGGAAGGTTACTATGCAACATCGAGAAAAAACTTAAGATTATAACAACGTTAACGTCTTTGAAACTCGGATAATTTACCTACTTACCATTTTTAACCGAATTTAAAAAAGAGGAGATACTCAATCCGACTGTATTTTTTTATGTGTGTTATATTAAAAGAATTAAGGCCATTGTCATTGCCATTATACGAGAAAAAATTGAAAACTGCGAAGCTGTGGTCGGGTCGCTAGGGCCAGCGCCGGTGGGGCTGCGGATGTGTGTAAGAGCGTTCCCGTGGCCCTGCCTATTGGTGCGAGTCCGACATAACCCGTCTTTGCCCCCGCGAGGCGGGTTTGCACAGGCAACAAATACTTGTTCCGTGCGGGATTCGAACCCGCGGCCCTTAGCACTGCAACTTATTGCTAAGCCACTGCGCCACGGAGCCGTCACTTGTCTATTTAAATTTTTTTTGATATTTACAAATATGCGACATACAAATATGATACATTATACGCGAAAAATACGAAAACTGCGAAGCTGTGGTCGGGCTGCTAATTAAATAATAAATCTCTAACTATGACGTCAGTAACTAGGTACCTAATTATCTAGATCTGCCTATAAATAATCATATTTTACCTTTCGGTATCCTTAGGAACAGTAAAGAATGAAAAGTCGACATTCCTACTGTTATTTAAGCACCCGTATGCAGGGACTTAAATACCGTTAAAATACAGTAACGTTATTTGCGCAAGTGCGAGATAACGTTATGTTTAAGAGAAACGATATGTCAAAACGATATTATGCAAAGCTTTGCATGTATATAACGTTATAATTACGTTACAATAACTTTGTCAAATAAACGTTTCTAAAATATTGTTATCACAAAATCATAATGTTATTATTTATTGGTCTATGCCATCTCTTTTACTCGTATGATCTATCGAATGCAGTGCTCTAAAATTATAGGCTGAAAATACGTTTTGTGGTTGTTATCGGAGCAATTGAATTATCAACTGTAGTAGTACATACAACTCGGAATATGGGTGTTTCAAAATAAATAGTTCATAAACTTTGTATTACATTCTTAACAATAAAATGGTGTATCTTACCG